TCCATGTGGATGCTGCCTGGTGATCCATGTGGATGCTACCTGGTGATCCATGTGGATGCTGCCTGGTGATCCATGGGGATGCTACCCGGTGATTCATGTGGATGCTACTTGGTGATCCATGGGGATGCTACCCGGTGATCCATGTGGATGCTACCTGGTGATCCATGGGGATGCTACCTGGTGATCCATGTGGATGCTGCCTGGTGATCCATGGGGATGCTACCCGGTGATTCATGTGGATGCTACTTGGTGATCCATGGGGATGCTACCTGGTGATCCATGGGGATGCTACCTGGTGATCCATGTGGATGCTGCCTGGTGATCCATGTGGATGCTACCTGGTGATCCATGTGGATGCTGCCTGGTGATCCATGGGGATGCTACCCGGTGATTCATGTGGATGCTACCTGGTGATCCATGGGGATGCTACCCGGTGATCCATGTGGATGCTACCTGGTGATCCATGGGGATGCTACCCGGTGATCCATGTGGATGCTACCTGGTGATCCATGGGGATGCTACCTGGTGATCCATGCGGATGCTGCCTGGTGATCCATGTGGATGCTGCCTGGTCATCCATGTGGATGCTATCTGGTGATTCATGTGGATGCTGCCTGGTGATCCATGTGGATGCTGCCTGGTGATCCATGTGGATGCTATCTGGTGATTCATGTGGATGCTACCTGGTGATCCATGCGGATGCTGCCTGGTGATTCATGTGGATGCTATCTGGTGATTCATGTGGATGCTATCTGGTGATTCATGTGGATGCTATCTGGTGATTCATGTGGATGCTACCTGGTGATCCATGTGGATGCTATCTGGTGATTCATGTGGATGCTACCTGGTGATCCATGTGGATGCTATCTGGTGATTCATGTGGATGCTACCTGGTGATCCATGTGGATGCTACCTGGTGATCCATGTGGATGCTGCCTGGTGATCCATGGGGATGCTATCTGGTGATTCATGTGGATGCTGCCTGGTGATCCATGTGGATGCTACCTGGTGATTCATGTGGATGCTGCCTGGTGATCCATGGGGATGCTATCTGGTGATTCATGTGGATGCTACCTGGTGATCCATGTGGATGCTATCTGGTGATTCATGTGGATGCTACCTGGTGATCCATGTGGATGCTACCTGGTGATCCATGTGGATGCTGCCTGGTGATCCATGTGGATGCTATCTGGTGATTCATGTGGATACTGCCTGGTGATCCATGTGGATACTGCCTGGTGATCCATGTGGATGCTACCTGGTGATTCATGTGGATGCTGCCTGGTGATCCATGTGGATGCTATCTGGTGATTCATGTGGATGCTACCTGGTGATCCATGTGGATGCTATCTGGTGATTCATGTGGATGCTACCTGGTGATCCATGTGGATGCTACCTGGTGATCCATGTGGATGCTGCCTGGTGATCCATGTGGATGCTACCTGGTGATCCATGTGGATACTGCCTGGTGATCCATGTGGATGCTGCCTGGTGATCCATGTGGATGCTACCTGGTGATCCATGTGGATGCTACCTGGTGATCCATGTGGATGCTGCCTGGTGATCCATGTGGATACTGCCTGGTGATCCATGTGGATACTGCCTGGTGATCCATGTGGATACTGCCTGGTGATCCATGTGGATACTGCCTGGTGATCCATGTGGATACTGCCTGGTGATCCATGTGGATACTGCCTGGTGATCCATGTGGATACTGCCTGGTGATCCATGTGGATACTGCCTGGTGATCCATGTGGATACTGCCTGGTGATCCATGTGGATACTGCCTGGTGATCCATGTGGATGCTACCTGGTGATCCATGTGGATACTGCCTGGTGATCCATGTGGATGCTACCTGGTGATCCATGTGGATGCTGCCTGGTGATCCATGTGGATACTGCCTGGTGATCCATGTGGATACTGCCTGGTGATCCATGTGGATACTGCCTGGTGATCCATGTGGATACTGCCTGGTGATCCATGTGGATACTGCCTGGTGATCCATGTGGATACTGCCTGGTGATCCATGTGGATACTGCCTGGTGATCCATGTGGATACTGCCTGGTGATCCATGTGGATACTGCCTGGTGATCCATGTGGATACTGCCTGGTGATCCATGTGGATGCTACGTGGTGATCCATGTGGATACTGCCTGGTGATCCATGTGGATGCTACGTGGTGATCCATGTGGATGCTGCCTGGTGATCCATGTGGATGCTACCTGGTGATCCATGTGGATACTGCCTGGTGATCCATGTGGATGCTACGTGGTGATCCATGTGGATGCTGCCTGGTGATCCATGTGGATGCTACCTGGTGATCCATGTGGATACTGCCTGGTGATCCATGTGGATGCTACCTGGTGATCCATGTGGATACTGCCTGGTGATCCATGTGGATACTGCCTGGTGATCCATGTGGATACTGCCTGGTGATCCATGTGGATACTGCCTGGTGATCCATGTGGATACTGCCTGGTGATCCATGTGGATACTGCCTGGTGATCCATGTGGATGCTACCTGGTGATCCATGTGGATACTGCCTGGTGATCCATGTGGATACTGCCTGGTGATCCATGTGGATACTGCCTGGTGATCCATGTGGATACTGCCTGGTGATCCATGTGGATACTGCCTGGTGATCCATGTGGATACTGCCTGGTGATCCATGTGGATACTGCCTGGTGATCCATGTGGATACTGCCTGGTGATCCATGTGGATACTGCCTGGTGATCCATGTGGATACTGCCTGGTGATCCATGTGGATACTGCCTGGTGATCCATGTGGATACTGCCTGGTGATCCATGTGGATACTGCCTGGTGATCCATGTGGATACTGCCTGGTGATCCATGTGGATACTGCCTGGTGATCCATGTGGATACTGCCTGGTGATCCATGTGGATACTGCCTGGTGATCCATGTGGATACTGCCTGGTGATCCATGTGGATACTGCCTGGTGATCCATGTGGATACTGCCTGGTGATCCATGTGGATACTGCCTGGTGATCCATGTGGATACTGCCTGGTGATCCATGTGGATGCTACGTGGTGATCCATGTGGATGCTACCTGGTGATCCATGTGGATACTGCCTGGTGATCCATGTGGATACTGCCTGGTGATTCATGTGGATGCTACCTGGTGATCCATGTGGATGCTACGTGGTGATCCATGTGGATGCTACGTGGTGATCCATGTGGATGCTACCTGGTGATCCATGTGGATACTGCCTGGTGATCCATGTGGATACTGCCTGGTGATCCATGTGGATGCTATCTGGTGATCCATGTGGATACTGCCTGGTGATCCATGTGGATGCTATCTGGTGATCCATGTGGATACTGCCTGGTGATTCATGTGGATGCTACGTGGTGATCCATGTGGATGCTACCTGGTGATCCATGTGGATACTGCCTGGTGATCCATGTGGATACTGCCTGGTGATCCATGTGGATGCTACGTGGTGATCCATGTGGATGCTACCTGGTGATCCATGTGGATACTGCCTGGTGATTCATGTGGATACTGCCTGGTGATCCATGTGGATGCTACGTGGTGATCCATGTGGATGCTACCTGGTGATCCATGTGGATACTGCCTGGTGATTCATGTGGATGCTACCTGGTGATCCATGTGGATGCTACGTGGTGATCCATGTGGATACTGCCTGGTGATCCATGTGGATGCTGCCTGGTGATCCATGTGGATACTGCCTGGTGATCCATGTGGATGCTGCCTGGTGATCCATGTGGATACTGCCTGGTGATCCATGTGGATACTGCCTGGTGATCCATGTGGATACTGCCTGGTGATCCATGTGGATACTGCCTGGTGATCCATGTGGATACTGCCTGGTGATCCATGTGGATACTGCCTGGTGATCCATGTGGATACTGCCTGGTGATCCATGTGGATACTGCCTGGTGATCCATGTGGATGCTGCCTGGTGATCCATGTGGATGCTGCCTGGTGATCCATGTGGATGCTGCCTGGTGATCCATGTGGATACTGCCTGGTGATCCATGTGGATACTGCCTGGTGATCCATGTGGATGCTGCCTGGTGATCCATGTGGATACTGCCTGGTGATCAAGGTGATCCATACACATGCTATCTGGTGATCCATACACATGCTATCTGGTGATCCATACACATGCTATCTGGTGATCCATACACATGCTATCTGGTGATCCATACACATGCTATCTGGTGATCCATACACATGCTATCTGGTGATCCATACACATGCTATCTGGTGATCCATACACATGCTATCTGGTGATCCATACACATGCTATCTGGTGATCCATACACATGCTATCTGGTGATCCATACACATGCTATCTGGTGATCCATACACATGCTATCTGGTGATCCATACACATGCTATCTGGTGATCCATACACATGCTATCTGGTGATCCATACACATGCTATCTGGTGATCCATACACATGCTATCTGGTGATCCATACACATGCTATCTGGTGATCCATACACATGCTATCTGGTGATCCATACACATGCTATCTGGTGATCCATACACATGCTATCTGGTGATCCATACACATGCTATCTGGTGATCCATACACATGCTATCTGGTGATCCATACACATGCTATCTGGTGATCCATACACATGCTATCTGGTGATCCATACACATGCTATCTGGTGATCCATACACATGCTATCTGGTGATCCATACACATGCTATCTGGTGATCCATACACATGCTATCTGGTGATCCATACACATGCTATCTGGTGATCCATACACATGCTATATTTATTTATATATTATTATCATTCATTCATGTGTAACTTGACTTTGCATATGATTCCCAATGAACAGAAAAAATGTAATCTTGATATTAGTGTACGAGGGAATTGCATCTCTAACGACCCACAGGTATTAAGAGCAATAAACTATTCTTAATTTTAGTCTTCACATAGACCTTTGATTCTCTGTTGTCTTCACTAATCATTGGATTGTTGCAGGAAGACGGCAGCTGAGGTGTATGTCTCTCTCGTAATGGCTGACGTGTCCGGATGTCCCTTGACTGGCATATCTGCATGTCCAGTCATGGCCAGTGTTATGCTTCAGCCGCCCGCAGGACCTAACGAGGGACACCTGCTTCCTCACTTGTCTACCTCACCTGTCGGAGATTCGCACCTGCCTGCCTCATCTGTTGGAGACTCAGGCTTACTCACCTCACCAATCTCATCCTCAGCCTCGGTGACCTTAAAGGGCAGCGTTACCCCATCGCCTCGTATGAAGAAGCTGTTGGAAGGTGCCAATCACCCCGGAGACTCCCACAATCCTCCACAACCCCCACAATGGCTTGACCGTGAGCTCTTTGACCGAGGACGTGAGTTTTATAAGCGTTATCTTTACTGTTTGGGCACCTCGGACTTACTGTCCCTAGTGATGACGCTCAGTGCGGAGCGGGCACTGAAACCTCTCATCTACACAGGACGCTCAGACACTCCTATGAAGGCTCTTAGACGCTATTTTTCCACGCTTCTGCACCTCATCACATGGTTCACTGGAGACGTCTGGGACCCCAATAATTCCGCTCACAAAGACATATTGTTCGTGCGGTCAATACACTGCAAGTTAAGCCGAACCTTCAACTCCTCCACATATAAAGAGAAAGTGACGGCAATTAACGTTACCAAGAAAGGACACAAGGAACCTGCTAAATCTCTCAATTCTGCCATTCGTCAAGATTTACAACGAGTGGCAGAAGAGACGTTGCCCTTGGAGACTGCAGACACTCCGGTTATTTACATAAATCAGCTGGACATGAGTCTGACACAGTACGCATTCATGGGGCTGATAGTAGCGCACCCGGAGAAGCTGGGAGCCGGAGCCGCTACCGAAGAAGAGATAGCTGGCTTGATCCACTTCTGGAGAGGAATTGGCTGGCTTATGGGTGTTGAGGACCAGTACAACTTCTGCAGTGGCTCCTTGGTTGAGACGAAAGAGTTATGTCTCGAGGTGGAGCGTCTTATTTTTATACCTCTCTTGGCCAAGGTCGACTGGAACTACGAGCACATGGCCACGTCTCTCATGACGGGTATAAACTACATCGTGCCTTTCATTTCCTACCCCGCCATGTTCCGATACTTGGCTTATATCCTAGACATCCCCGTGTCAACTTTCGTCAGCAAGACGTCCTACCTGCACTCCTTCCACTACTGGCTAATGCGCCTCACCTTCTCCCTCATCCTCCTGGTGCCCTGCCTGCTGGTGCTTCTTAACTCTCTCTTCCTTTCACTCATTGATGTAGCTCAGAGGAAGAGATTCAAGCTGACCATGTCTGGAAGCCCAAAGCTTCATGAAGCTTCACCTGAGCACTGATGAGGAGCCTCCTGACCTATCCCATTTACAATGTATAAGAATATAATGGAGAAGCACTACCTGTTGGCCCATGCTGGGCAGGTCATTCCTATACCCATCATTTTTCATTAACACTTTAAGTAGTTTAAAGTGTCAGAATTAATGACTTGGCAGACTGTTCCAGTCATTTATAACTCCATCACTAATTCAATATCAACTGTCATAACTTAGTGATAAGAGCAGCGCCTCTCATCACCCAGGTTCGGGAATCAGGTCTCCGTCTGGAAAACAATATTCCTGAATAAGTATTTCCAATTACCTTTCTAAATCAGATGGTATCCAACTTGAAACCCTTTCTCGATATCTTTTCTAGTTAACCCTCAGCACCCTATTTATATCTCATCTATTCATATCCATCTTTTACTTTTCTACCTTAATCAGTTCAGATTATTATTACAATCAAGACTAAGCACTAAATCCGCAAGGTTCATACAGTAACCAGTTCAGAACCACGGGGCCAACCTCTTCCTGAGGACCTGTGGGAGGCATATTACCCCACTGGTCTGAGTATCGGGTGACATTACAGAATTGTAGGAGATAGATATTTTTCACCCCATACCGCCTCCTGACAGGGCAGGTGGTTCCTTAGCTAGGCTAGCCGCAAGAATAGCATGTCCGTCTCATGATTAGCGGACGTAGTATCGAGTCTCCATCACTTCTTGTACTAAATGCCCCACACGGATTTAGCGCACCACATGCAGTATAAGCAACAATAATAATCTCCCCTCCAGTGAATTTACGTTGTCATCCTTCTCTGTATATTCGCTAATGCATTTAAATCCATCCTGTATCATTAGAGCAAAGATATACAATACCGACAGTTTGATAAATAATACACGTATGTAACACCTGGGTATCTTTAATGATGAATAAGTCAAATGTACAACACCTGGGTATCTCTATTAGAGACATTTCGTAGCAGACTTTTGTTCAGAGACATTTATACTGGAACCAGTTGTGAGGTGCAACAGTAGAAGACATCATCAAAGGTGGGCGGAACCAACTACGTAAAGTAAGTCATATCTATAAGGTGGGCCAGATGATAGCAATAGAGTTGAAGAAAAAATCTTCTCCACCAAACTCCATGGTGAATCTAATACAAAGGCTTGAGGACGGAGATTTTTGTACTAGAGCCAGTGGAAGAAGAGGTGAAGCTCAACAACTGGAAATATATCTTCTCTCTTAGTTGTTTCTGTGTTAGGGTTGAAGGCCTGGAGTTTACCTGCAGAGGGTTTCGGGGGTGAACGTCCCCGGGGCCCGGTCTGAGACCAGGTCTCATGGTGGATCAGAAGACGCTGCTAGTGGCAGAACGTTTCCCTTAATATGTCCTCAAATGTACATAACTGTCTATTTCCAGACAGTTGAAAATACTGTCACAGGTGGGAAGGACCCACTAGTGGAAGTCATGCACACAAGGTGGGCTAAATGTTAACAATAGAGGTGCGGAAAATATCCTTTGTACGAAGACTCGACGGTGTTTCTGGGTCTGATAAGCATCTGCTGAAGAAAAACCTGCTGTATGGGCGAAACGTTTCCCCATTAAAGATACACAGGTGTTGCATTCTAAATGGAGGTCAGAACCGCTGTTCGTAATCTAAATGAATCTTATTAATGATGCGCATAACTGATGAATGAGACACTAGACTCTAGAGGAATAGTGTAACATCACATAAGTTCTGGGGGATGTAACATCATTATTTTGTAACCTCCAGGACTGAATGGTACGACGCAGGACTTCAATTTGAATCCCATCCACTCACTGACAGTCGTTCAATAAGATTTATATATATATATATATATATATATATATATATATATATATATATATATATATATATATATATATATATATATATATATATATATATATATATATATATATATATATATATATAGTGTTGTTACGTTATTTTTATATACAGTTTTATATATTTACTAGTTTGATTTGTACGGTTGTTATTGATCATTAATTTCTGTTTCCTTTAAGATGATGCTTTTAAAAACAGAGGTGCAAAATAGGAATCTGCTTTGAAGCATATAAATACATTCTCATTGAAGTGTAATGATGCTAGGAACTTAGGAGGATGCGTCAGATATATTTTTGTATAGCATTTACTAATAAAATCTTCAAATAAATCAAGTTGTATGACTAAATCCTGTAAATTAATCTACTGAATCCCTGCGTACACATATTCTCTAAACAAAATACGTAAGAAAATAAGGTGCACAAATCACACTGAAGATCAAGATTCAGTGAACTGATCAGCGACTTGGAAAAACATTCAGTAAATCAGTGATCTAAAATAGATTTAGTGAGCCAATCAGTTATCTAACAATAGATTCACTGAGATAACTGTTTAGAAATAGATTTATTAGACAGTCAACTCTTTAGATATAGATTCGATGAACCAAGTAACTATGTGGTAAGAGGTTCGTTTAGTCAATCAACGAAAGAAGAGTTGAGCAAGGTTTAAGTTATTCCTGGAGAATAATCCTCTAACAACTGTCTGTGACGTCTCTAATATTAATGAGTTGCCGGTAACTAAACAGGGAAGCAGTAGAGGTCACAGGGAAGTTAGGAAGTATTTCTCCAGCCTGAGGGTGGTCAGGAAGTGGAGCTACCTTGCATGATGTGGTAGTTACTGCTGGCTCCACCCGGCCTTTGGATGGGCAAGAAGTGAAATCATTTATACGAAGAAATAGTGAAGGCTTGTTCCACAATACTTTTTTTTTTTAAGAATAGATATGATAGGGCCCACGAGGTCCTGTCGTACCAGGAGCTGAGACTCAACTCCTGACATCAGCAGTGTTTTGATGACCCTAAATTAAGAGTGTGTACCACATATATCACATCAGCTATAAAACACAGACTAATGTATAAATTAGACATATGTATGGAACGTATCATAATATAAGTTGTAGTTGTTGCACATGTATAATTTGACAGAACTAAGTACCACAGACAGACAGACAGGGAGACAGACAGAGAGACAGGGAGATTATAAACAATTTAAGTCATCCCAGGGAGGCGCCTCGGTGCCGGTGAAGACTCCTGATCAAATACTACTTTCCTTGGATCGAACCTGATTGCTTTCCTTTTCTTGGGCGCTTCATGACCCCTACGAGTTTAGCGATATCCCCCATGACTGTAATAATATAAACAACACGGGATTTTCTCAAAATTTAGAAGTATTCCAAGCCTTTGTCAGTACAACAAAGGAACGAGTGACTGCGCTTAGATAAAGTGATTAGAGCAATATTATTAATGGACTAAATTAACACATTCCATTAATCAAAGCTTAGAAAGCTATTTTAGCTCTTCTTTGTTTTAATACAATAATTGAAAGCTTTTATAAAATCAGATGAAAAATGTTTATGGATTTCCCATTAACCTCGTCACTAGCAGTGGTTGGGGGGGGGGGTGATTCCATGCTAGAAAATGGCTCTTGATCCAAGGAATTATACCTACCTTCCTTTCCCATCGGATCAAACTTAATTTTCTTATATTCCTCTATTGCCCTACTACCCCCTTCAATTTAATGTTTTCCAGTTAGTTAGTTAGTTAAAGATTAGCCGGTATTCTCCCGGCCCGGGCCTTGTCCAAGTGGTGGCCCGGCCTTGGCTCCCTCTTTAGGGAGTGTCTGAGACCTAAGTCTCCCATGGGAGGAGGCACAAGCACCTCCTCATCTTTGGGACCAACTGTCCCCAGGCCTAGCCACAAGCTAGGCCTCTCTGGTCTGCCATCCCCGCCCCAAGAGGGATAATGGGAATGACAGTCTTATGAGCTAAAGGCTCGGGCTCAGGCACCTACCCTACCCTAGAAGGGTTAGGCATGGTGTCGATGTTTTCCAGAATAACGGGACAATAACATTGTTAATAATAATAATTAAACGTAAGTAAGAAAGTTTTTATGTAATAACGATAATAAATAAAATAATGTGAGCAAAAAATTATTTTTTTTATCATTGCTGTTTATATATTATATTTTCTGATATTATTAACAATAATTAATGGCAGGCAATGAAGTTTTTATGTAATAACGATGAAGAAAATATATGGTATGAGCCTATGTCATCCCTTTGACATTATTATTGACGTATTTTATCTTCTGATATATAGTTCCCAGTGCTATATTCTCCCTCCTTTGGGGGATTTTTTATTAAAGAACTACCCAATTTCGGCTATATGGGACCGAAATGAAGTGACGCCAGTCACCTCTGAAACAAAGTTGACGCCAGTCACCACTGAAACAAAGTTGACGCCAGTCACCACTGAAACAAAGTTGACGCCAGTCACCACTGAAACAAAGTTGGCGCCAGTCACCACTTAAACAAAGTTGACGCCAGTCACCACTGAAACAAAGTTGACGCCACTGTCACCACTGAAACAAAGTTGGCGCCAGTCACCACTTAAACAAAGTTGACGTCAGTCACCACTGAAACAAAGTTGACGCCGCTGTCACCACTGAAACAAAGTTGACGTCAGTCACCACTGAAACAAAGTTGACGCCAGTCACCACTGAAACAAAGTTGACGCCACTGTCACCACTGAAACAAAGTTGACGTCAGTCACCACTGAAACAAAGTTGACGCCAGTCACCACTGAAACAAAGTTGACGCCACTGTCACCACTGAAACAAAGTTGACGCCAGTCACCACTGAAACAAAGTTGACGCCAGTCACCACTGAAACAAAGTTGACGCCAGTCACCACTGAAACAAAGTTGACGCCACTGTCACCACTGAAACAAAGTTGGCGCCAGTCACCACTGAAACAAAGTTGACGCCAGTCACCACTGCAACAAAGTTGAGGCCACTGTCACCACTGAAACAAAGTCGACGCCAGTCACCACTAAAACAAAGTTGGCGCCAGTCACCACTGAAACAAAGTTGGCGCCAGTCACCACTGAAACAAAGTTGACGTCAGTCACCACTGAAACAAAGTTGACACCACTGTCACCACTGAAACAAAGTTGACGCCAGCCACCACTGAAACAAAGTTGACGCCAGTCACCACTGAAACAAAGTTAAAGCCACTGTCACCACTGAAACAAAGTTGGCGCATGTCACCACTGCAACAAAGTTGACGCCACTGTCACCACTGAAACAAAGTTGGCGCCAGTCACCACTGAAACAAAGTTGGCGCCAGTCACCACTGAAACAAAGTTGACGCCACTGTCACCACTGAAACAAAGTTGACGCCACTGTCACCACTGAAACAAAGTTGACGCCAGTCACCACTGAAACAAAGTTGACGCCAGTCACCACTGAAACAAAGTTGACGCCAGTCACCACTGAAACAAAGTTGACGCCAGTCACCACTGAAACAAAGTTGACGCCAGCCATCATTGAAACAAAGTTGACGCCAGTCACCACTGAAACAAAGTTGACGCCAGTCACCACTGAAACAAAGTTGACGCCACTGTCACCACTGGAGAGTTTACCTGGAGAGAGTTTCGGGGGTCAACGCCCCCGCGGCCCGGTCTGTGACCAGGCCTCCTGGTGGATCAGCGCCTGATCAACCAGGCTGTTGCTGCTGGCTGCACGCAAACCAACGTACGAGCCACAGCCCGGCTGATCAGGAACTGACTTTAGGTGCTTGTCCAGTGCCAGCTTGAAGACTGCCAGGGGTCTGTTGGTAATCCCCCTTATGTGTGCTGGGAGGCAGTTGAACAGTCTCGGGCCCCTGACACTTATTGTATGGTCTCTTAACGTGCTAGTGACACCCTGCTTTTCATTGGGGGGATGGTGCATCGTCTGCCAAGTCTTTTGCTTTCGTAGTGAGTGATTTTCGTGTGCAAGTTCGGTACTAGTCCCTCTAGGATTTTCCAGGTGTATATAATCATGTATCTCTCCTCCTGCATTCCAGGGAATACAGGTTTAGAAACCTCAAGCGCTCCCAGTAATTGAGGTGTTTTATCTCCGTTATGCGCGCCGTGAAAGTTCTCTGTACATTTTCTAGGTCGGCAATTTCACCTGCCTTGAAAGGTGCTGTTAGAGTGCAGCAATATTCCAGCCTAGATAGAACAAGTGACCTGAAGAGTGTCATCATGGGCTTGGCCTCCCTAGTTTTGAAGGTTCTCATTATCCATCCTGTCATTTTTCTAGCAGATGCGATTGATACAATGTTATGGTCCTTGAAGGTGAGATCCTCCGACATAATCACTCCCAGGTCTTTGACGTTGGTGTTTCGCTCTATTTTGTGGCCAGAATTTGTTTTGTACTCTGATGAAGATTTAATTTCCTCATGTTTACCATATCTGAGTAATTGAAATTTCTCATCGTTGAACTTCATATTGTTTTCTGCAGCCCTCTGAAAGATTTGGTGGGCTGCAGAAAACAATATGAAGTTCAACGATGAGAAATTTCAATTACTCAGATATGGTAAACATGAGGAAATTAAATCTTCATCAGAGTACAAAACAAATTTGGCGCCAGTCACCACTGAAACAAAGTTGACGCCACTGTCACCACTGAAACAAAGTTGACGCCATTCACCACTGAAACAAAGTTGACGCCAGTCACCACTGAAACAAAGTTGACGCCAGTCACCACTGAAACAAAGTTGACGCCAGTCACCACTGAAACAAAGTTGACTCCACTGTCACCACTGAAACAAAGTTGACGCCAGTCACCACTGAAACAAAGTTGACGCCAGTCACCACTGAAACAAAGTTGACGCCACTGTCACCACTGAAACAAAGTTGACGCCAGTCACCACTGAAACAAAGTTGACGCCACTGTCACCACTGAAACAGAGTTGACGCCAGTCACCACTGAAACAAAGTTGACGCCAGTCACCACTGAAACAAAGTTGATGCCAGTCACCACTGAAACAAAGTTGACGCCACTGTCACCACTGAAACAAAGTTGACGCCAGTCACCACTGAAACAGAGTTGACGCCAGTCACCACTGAAACAAAGTTGACGCCAGTCACCACTGAAACAAAGTTGACGCCACTGTTATGACTGAAACAGAGTTGACGCCAGTCACCACTGAAACAAAGTTGACGCCAGTCACCACTGAAACAAAGTTGACGCCACTGTCGCCACTGAAGCAAAGTTGACGCAGTCATCACTGAAACAAAGTTGACGCCACTGTCACCACTGAAACAAAGTTGACGCCACTGTCACCACTGAAGCAAAGTTGACGCCAGTCACCACGGAAACAAAGTTGACGCCACTGTCACCACTGAAACAAAGTTGACGCCACTGTCACCACTGAAACAGAGTTGACGCCAGTCACCACTGAAACAAAGTTGATGCCAGTCACCACTGAAACAAAGTTGACGCCACTGTCACCACTGAAACAAAGTTGACGCCAGTCACCACTGAAACAGAGTTGACGCCAGTCACCACTGAAACAAAGTTGACGCCACTGTCACAACTGAAACAAAGTTGGCGCCAGTCACCACTGAAACAAAATTGACGCCAGTCACCACTGAAACAAAGTTGACGCCAGTCACCACTGAAACAAAGTTGACGCCACTGTCGCCACTGAAGCAAAGTTGACGCAGTCATCACTGAAACAAAGTTGACGCCACTGTCACCACTGAAACAAAGTTGACGCCACTGTCACCACTGAAACAAAGTTGGCGCCAGTCGCCACTGAAACAAAATTGACGCCAGTCACCACTGAAACAAAGTTGACGTCACTGTCACCACTGAAACAAAGTTGGCGCCAGTCACCACTGAAACAAAATTGACGCCAGTCACCACTGAAACAAAGTTGACGCCACTGTCATCACTGAAACAAAGTTGACGCCAGTCACCACTGAAACAAAGTTGATGCCACTGTCACCACTGAAGCAAAGTTGAAGCAGTCACCACTGAAACAAAGTTGACGCCAGTCACCACTGAAACAAAGTTGATGCCACTGTCACCACTGAAGCAAAGTTGACCCCAGTCACCACTGAAACAAAGTTGACGCCAGTCACCACTGAAACAAAGTTGATGCCACTGTCACCACTGAAGCAAAGTTGACCCCAGTCACCACTGAAACAAAGTTGACGCCAGTCACCACTGAAACAAAGTTGACCCCAGTCACCACTGCAACAAAGTTGACGCCAGTCACCACTGAAACAAAGTTGACGCCAGTCACCACTGAAACAAAGTTGACGCCAGTCACCACTGAAACAAAGTTGACGCCAGTCACCACTGAAACAAAGTTGACGCCAGTCACCACTGAAACAAAGTTGACGCCGCTATTACCAGCGAAATAAAGTAAAAAGCGAAGACAAAATAGTGGGAAATTAAAACAAAAAAGACAGTTTCCTTAATTACTACTAACTGCTGCTATTACCTGCTCTTATCAGTACTAGCAGGAGAGTTTAGTTAGTTTAATTACTACTAACTGCTGCTATTACCTGCTCTTATCAGTACTAGCAGGAGAGTTTAGTTAGTTTAATTACTACTAACTGCTGCTATTACCTGCTCTTTTCAGTACTAGCAGGAGAGTTTAGTTAGTTTAATTTGTCTATCATGCACCACATACCCATCCTGTGGGTGGTGGTCAAAAGATTACAAAGGTACATAATGGGTCCAGGGACTAGACCCCAGAGTTTTGATAGCTGACCAAGTTACAAAGATAATGAAGGAGACGCAAGAGAAAAATTACAGCAGACGGACTAGACAGGAAAGAATTTGTGTCAGAACAGGAAAACCCTCACAGGATTCATATGACAGACCAGTCAGTAGATATTATATGGTTATCATAAGGGGCTAATTTATGGTACGCTGTTTCGGCAATGATCCACCGGGAGGCCTGGTCATGGACCGGGTTGCGGGGGCGTTGATCCCCGGAATGCCCTCCAGGTAGACTCCAGGTAGACTCCAGGTAGACCCCAGGTAGACCCCAGGTAGACTCCAGGTAGATTCAAGGTAGACTCCAGGTAGATTCAAGGTAGACTCAAGGTAGACTCCAGGTAGACTCCAGGTAGACTCCAGGTAGACTCCAGGCAGACTCAAGGTAGACTTAAGGTAGACTCAAGGTAGACTCCAGGTAGACTCCAGGTAGACTCCAGATAGACTCCAGGTAGACTCAGGTGGGTATCATCGCCGGTAGAGTGACAGACATACTACCAGACTGTCGAGTCTTCCAAAGAATATATTGTATATGGCAATAAAGGCATTTCCATGGACACCTCTATAAAAATAATCTATAAATCTTATTGCTCCATAAAGAGAGAGAAAATGATACAACACTAAGATTAAAATTTTGGCGTTTATTATTGATACACAAAAAATGCAAATACAAAATTGAATAGATTCTCATCGTTGACACTGCCATATTCCCAATTTTATATCGTGTATATCACCATACTTCCCAAAAATACTATGTAAATCCACCTCATCAGCCTCAAATGGTAATCCACGTATTCGAACCCATGTATATGTAGCAGAATCATGTATATGTAGCAGAATCATCTTTTATTCCATTAATATTCATCTCAATGTCTTGAATGGACGACACTGACCAAGAGTATGAATGGTTTAGAAAGTTGACAAGCTGATAAATGAGACATGTACATTTAGGAATCTTTATTCTGGAAACATTTCGCCACGTAGTGACTTCTTCAGTCTAATGCAGAGAAAGATGGAAGACGAGGATGAGTTTGAGGTAATCAGTCCCTCAGGATAGAGTCGATTTGTTCAGTCCATCAGGAAGATGTGTCTCATTTATCAACTTTTTGAGTTTTTTAAACTATTTATACACATCCTGTCAGACACAGCAACATTTTGGGATCTTTATGCATGGAGAGTGTTCCGGGGGTCAACGCCCCCGCGGCCCTGTCTGTGGCCAGGCCTCCTGGTGGATCAGAGCCTGATCAACCAGGCTGTTACTGCTGGCTGCACGCAAACCAACGTACGAGCCACAGCCCGGCTGGTCAGGTACCGACTTTAGGTGCTTGTCCAGTGCCCTGGCAGTCTTCAAGCAGGCACTGGACAAGCACCTAAAGTCGGTATCTGACCAGCCGGGCTGTGGCTCGTACGTTGGCTTGCGTGCAGCCAGCAGTAACGGCCTGGTTGATCAGGCTCTGATCCACCAGGAGGCCTGGCCACAGACAGGGCCGCGGGGGCGTTGACCCCCGGAACACTCTCCAGGTAAACTCCAGGTATTTGTCTAAGCAATAAACATGACCTACTTCCACTAGTGATCTCTGCTGCTGACTTAGTAAGTGACGGGTCTAATACATAGTATTTGTAGGAACTTGAAAATGTATAAAATTTTCGGCTTAATTCGTAAAAAAAAATCACAAAAAAAGGAAAAAATAATTGTCACGCAGGGTGAGTAGTACTAGTTACTTAAAATACCCGATATAAAGAAATAGTATATACTCATTATAGATAAAGCAGTCATAGTTGCTTTAATTGGTTATCATACGTTACTAATACTCAAAGTTAATTATCAAAATAAATCAGTTTACTACATATTTATTTTCAGATAAGTTACCACTGAAATATGAAAAAAAATCTAACATTTTCTATAAAACCTTCATATAAACATAATACACAAATACTCTCTAAGGCTAATTATCCTAGCAACGAATAATTTTATAAGGTTTGAAAATACATAGGATAATTTACTATAGTAAATTTTTCCAAACAATTTTTTGTTAATATTTAAGAGAAGAACCATGAGTGAGAGAAGCTGTGTCTCCCTCACGTTGTTGTCAGTTCTTTCAGCAGGTGGAGCTGACTCCGGCGCCACTCTTATAGCAATTATGGTCAGTATTTTGCTCTCCAGCGTTGTATTTCATAGTTGTGAGAGGCATGGAGGAGTCCAGCATGGGAGTTGTGGTGTGAGTGTGAGTTATATATGGGTGAATGTGGTGAGGTGAGTGTAAGATGTGAGCCTCGTGGGTGATGGCGGCAGCTGCTTGTGTTAGTTATATGTGTTTGAGGCATTATTACCGTGTTCAGGCCCCGGGGTATTGGCTAGATTGTTAAATATATCTATTCCCCCAAGAATATGTTAGGTGAAGATACGGATGCGGTTAGAAATTGAGGAAAAGCTTCACAAGGAGCGACTAAGGATGTTGATCCGTGTAACTGTGTATCTGTTTTTCTAGCCAGATTATTTTGGGCTAAAGTTACCGACCCCTCAGGGAAGGTTCCTTGATGCTGGTGAGGGGCTCTTGGTCTAGGGAATTAGATCTGTGATCCAGTTCCCTGAATTAAGCCTGAATACCTTTCATCCCCTTCCCCCCACAAGTGCTGTATAATCCTTAAGGGTTTAGCGCTCCCCATGATTATAATAAAGTTACCAACACCTACTCAGCTGAATTGATTTCTTCGTTATTTTTACTTTTCAATACATACAACACGACTTGTGCCATAAAATGTGTGCAAATTTTAATTTGGGGAGATGTTAAAAAAAAATGTTAAGGTAGGCTGTGTGTAGTAAAGGTTGTGATTTTATGTATATATCAAATATATATATTGTAATCTGATCCTATCTTTAATGTCAGTAAAATTAACTAATTTTACCTCTCTCCTAGTACATATCTTTTATTGTAACTGCTTTTACATAGTTAGGATACTTACCTGTTTTTAACTTTTAAATATAAAAAGTACTTATCACAAGGACCCCAATGGAAATAAGTTTTTTTTTTTTTTTTTTGTATGTTTTTGGGTTATCCCAGGTTCTCTACGCATGCTGCTATGTGAGATAATCTATGTAACTATTTGTGTATACCTGAATAAACTAATTTACTTGCCTACAGTAAGACTTTTTCAGTCGAGGAACTGACCCCCTCAAAACTAGGTCTTCAAGGATGATTGATTACAATTTCTTTATATCTCTACTGCTGCTGCTTCCTCCTCTGTACTCAGCTGAAGAGGCCTACTGTGTAGGTGAAGCATTTTGGATGATACATAAAGGAAGATGACAAAGCTAATCCAGTGCATCAAATCTATATTCTAGAAAGGTGTTTGTAGAATTAGGGGGGGATATGATTGAGATGTATAAAAGGAGGACAGGAATAAATAGAGGGATGTAAATAACATGCTAGAAATATCTGACTAAGACAGGATTCCCTTGGAAAATTTAGATCAGAAAGGGTATAGGAAAGCACTGGTTTTGTAATAGCTGTGGATGAGTGGAACAAACTACTGAATGACGTTGTTGAAGCAAAAACCTTGGGAAGATTTAAAAATAAGTTAGACAAACACAAGTTGGTGTGACTTAGACTTGCCTAGCATGGGCCAGTTGGCTTGCTCTTTCCTTGTTTCAAGTTAGCCTATTCAGGTATACACAAATACAGTTACATAAATTATCATACATGTGTAGAGAACCTGGGATAACCCAAAAAAGTCAGAGTGACTTATTTCAATGGGATCCTTTTACCTTATTATAATATAAAGGTTATAATATCTTATTATTCTGTAATGGAGATAACATCTTATTATCATACTAAAAAGACTATCTACTACACGAGGGTCATTACTAGGAATAAGGTAAAATTACATGTGTGTTAGCTAAACAAAATAAAAAAAATCATTCCCCTCCCTTTCTGTAGCTTCATTCATCATACACCTTTTGGCACTCTTCTTGAACTGGTTCATGCTATGACTGTCTTTGACACGTGCGGGCAGTTTGCTCCATTCCTTTATTGCTGTACGATAAAAGGTGTTTGAAGCCTGGCCACTGAAAAGCAGGGGTGTCACTAGCACGTTAAGAGACCATACAATAAGTGTCAGGGGCCCGAGACTGTTCAACTGCCTCCCAGCACACATAAGGGGGATTACCAACAGACCCCTGGCAGTCTTCAAGCTGGCACTGGACAAGCATCTAAAGTCAGTTCCTGATCAGCCGAGCTGTGGCTCGTATGTTGGTTTGCGTGCAGCCAGCAGCAACAGCCTGGTTGATCAGGCTCTGATCCACCAGGAGGCCTGGTCACAGACCGGGCCGCGGGGGCGTTGACCCCCGGAACTCTCTCCAGGTAAACTCCAGGTAAACTGACTGTGGGTACTACAAAGTTGTGTTCTCTATTCAAAACGTGGAAATAAGTCATTTCAACTATTGGGTTATCCTGGGTTATTTATATATTTAGGTTTGAGGGAGTGTCCTAGCTTATAAACAATGATATTTCTGTGCCCAGAATGCACATGTACCTTTCAGACCACTGTAAAACATATTTACAAGGATTTTTTTTTCCAAGGTGTAATACTCTAAGAAACAAGGAAATAAGTTGAATTGACTAAATTGGGTTAACCTATCTCAAATCTATAGTATTGGCTGCCAGTTAGTGTCATGAAAATGTAATTAATATGGAATAAATAAGGCATCTTCCTGGTAGCTCTCACCATATAGGTGGGAACACTTCCTGATTTCATTGTTTTCCCCATGCAGTGTAGACCTGCCTGGTCTTAGATGCTTCTTTTTTCCAAGACATGGGGGTTGTAGAAGACCTACAGTTGAGCCAACCTCAAAAACATTGGCAGGTGGTATATATGAGGGTATGAAAACTTTTGCACACTGGTACATTAGACAGTTAAATGGTTAACCCTTAAACTGTCCAAACGTAGATCTACGTTGACATGCATAGTGCTCCAAACGTAGATCTATTTTTTTTTTACTTGCTTTCAGATGGAGAAAATAAAGGTCAGAGCGCTACGCACATGAACGTAGATATATGTTTGGACAGTTTAAGGGTTAAAAACTGAATAGTTTGAAATTGTTACTCAAAAATCTGCATTAAACTGCAGTTGACTGGTTGAATCTGTTGGGAGGGTGGGGGGAAAAGTGTTATAACTCTTTATTTTTATATATTGGGATATACAGTACGTACCTTTAATGTGAAGTTACTGTTCTCTGTTTATAGGGATGTTTAAACCTTTCTTTCATCTTGCAGACCTCAAAGCGTCGGAATAATGGACGATCCAAGCATGGACGAGGCCACACCAAACCTGTTCGTTGCACTAACTGTGGTCGATGTGTGCCTAAGGATAAGGCCATTAAAAAGTTTCAAATACGTAACATTGTAGAGGCAGCTGCAGTGAAAGATATTAATGAAGCTTCAGTTTATACTGGTAATCATCTCTGAACATTTTTAAGTACAGTAGTTATGGATTTTATTTTAAATGATACTGCATTTACTTATAAAAAAATTTATAATTTTGTTTGGTGAATTTGAATTTTTATCTGCATTATAACATTTAGTAAATGGCTTGAAATCGACTATATTAAAGATTTTATAATCCTGGATATGTTAATGGTTGTACTAATAAATTTTGCATACTGTACAATACTACTGTATTTAGCTTTTCATAGTGTTATTTTGTACATTTAACAAAATTACAGAATAATGTGTATAACCTTCCCCGAGTCGAGGCGAGTCGTGTATAACCTTCATGTGAAGGTATGTACAGTACATTGTATTGTACCAATACAGTACAAAGAATTTTGGTGCTGTCAAACCACATCATTTGTTACGTCATTATTCACTTACTTCAAGTGCTGCATCAGCCACACACGCACCACCTTTAAGTATATCTATTGCCTCAGTTTTTTCACTAGAGGCATAGTTTCAGGCTTCAACTCCTTGACACCTTCACATACGTAGCATTGGGGATAAAAAGATTGGAAATGGAGTGATAACACGAGAAATCATATGATAGTCCAATCAGCACGGGGAGGAAGGGTGTAAACAAAACTCGGTCTACCATTAAACAAGTACTGAGGCATGTGGGAGGGATACTGGCCCTCCTGTGCTTCTGCGATGGCTGGCCATGTAGCACAAGATGGAAATAGGTAGTCGCTGCAAAATGTGAAAATTTATAAAAAAAAAAAGATTGGAAACATGCAAATGCAGTGGATGGAGGTGGAAAAGGTGGTGGTCTACCCTATTACTGTAATTTTTATGCAAATTCAAAGTTAAAAAAAAATGTATACACCCCCTTCCTGCATTTACTGTGTTAAAGAATGTTAGCAATTAACCATCATTGGTTCCTTGATAATATAATCCCTGTTATTAAAGATGTTTGACAGAAATCTTTAAAGGCAGTGTATATGTAGATCAGTTTGTATAAGTTAATCCTCACATGCTGTACTCAGAGAAAAATGTGTGTTGTATATACTATAGAGTATGCTTAGTAGAATACACAAATATCCTGCATTTTAGAAGACTGAAATTTATGATGTTTTGGTCCGACTTGGACCATTGACCATTAATTTGTGTGTTCCAGTCATGGCACCTGCCTTTTTATTCTTTACTGTGTTGAGGTTAATTTTAAATTTCACATTGCATGTATTGTTCAGACAGCCTTGGAACCACCTTATCAACACATGATTAAGGTTAAAACTCTATTTTAAATAGAGGGAAGAGGGGTGCCCTGTACTGCAGATTGTCAGTTAGATTTGAATGATTGTTTTCATGATTGCCACAACAATGAATAATTCTGTAATCTGCAATAAATTTACTCACTAGACCATACAAATAAAGGAAAATTCTGAATTTAATGGATAAAGAATTTTTTCCAGCAGACTAACAATAATAGATAATTCTGAAAAATAACATTGTCCTTTAAATTCAAAATAACTTTATTTAGAGGACAGTAACAAAAATTAACAAGTCTGGATTTAACTGACTTTGTTAGTAGTTACTGGACTTTTGTATAGACAATTAATTGTGTATATTAAATCTGAAATCCATTGAATAAAGGTTTTACTGTATTTTTATTGAATCGTGTTGAAATTTGGTCATCAGCTCCTTTAGCTGGTGTCTATGTGTACGGCACGAAGATAAACTGCTGCTTGATCCAGGGCATGTTCTCCTGAATATTGCCCTCTATGAAGTAGCACACACTTGTTAAGAATGCCTTTAAAATGAAGTAAGATCATAATGGAGGACTACCATGTAGTACTCTGTATATGGAGGTTATTCCAGGTTGCTGTTGAAATGGTGTGAATGGAATAATACAAATAATATTGACTTTTAAAAAAAAGGGTGGTGAGAAATTTAAAATTACAGATTTTTTATATACCTGTGATGTATGGGATTGAAGCGTATAGCTAGTACATATATTTATAAAAGGTTTAAATGAATGAATTGTTTGAATGTGTGGATGTAGTATAGATAAGAGTTAATTGTGACTTTTGAATGAAAAGCTGGGTGTCCTAGCTGTAAGCAAAACAAAGCTGAAGTGGATAGGTTTTCAATAGGGGGGTGGGGGGAATTGGGATTAGGTCAGGAGTATCAGAAATTTAAGGAAGGGGTATTAGTAATGTTGAATGATCAGTTATGGAAGTAATGGAGGAAATGTAGATGTATAAATTCAAAGATTTTGGATTGCTTATACACCCAGGGCAAAGAGAGAGGGTGAGATATTAAGTGTGTTTAGGGAGTTTAATACATGTACTCTGATAATTATGCTGTACCTGTACCTAAATATACTTACACACTGTGCTGGCATGTAGGTACACATTAAAATCACTAAGAATCTCTCTACTCATAACACCATAGTAATACTATGTAATAATAATCTCTCTTGAGCACATTAAATGTCTTATTTTACGTTAATAAATCATTTTCGTTAATCCATCTATGACATTTTCTTCAAAATTATATAAAAATGCGTTACATAGCATATAAACATTATACATACACCCACAGAATAAAAATTGACATAAATATGAGATTTGTTTACAAAGCGGCTCTGTAGGAGTGTTGGAAGAATTACATTTTCTCTAGTCAAACACTGGGGGATAACTGTAGATAAATATTCCTTTCGTATGCCTTCACTCTATATATAGCAATTCACAACCCTTGTGGGTTTAGTGCTTCTTTTTTATTACGAGTATAATTGTAATAACTTGTAATAATAATTTTTAATAATTTGTAATAATAATAATAATTTGTCAGCATCATTCCTTCTAAAAATTACATTCTACTGTATTATTCTACTGTACCACAGTGGAGACAACTTGCACACAATGTAAGGTGTTTGTATGAATGTTTATGAACCACAACTAGATGCATCGTCTGTTTACATACTGGGTGGGGTAGCCAGACTGGCTTCCCTACACTACGCTACCTACCACACCACTTTCTACAAATAAATACTTTTCACCTTTCGCCCTACATTAAGACTACAAATATTTTAAGGTAAGTAATGAGTGTATTGTATATGCATTTTATCACTATTTAAGCATCGTTGTAGTATTGTGTGGGTGGGGTGGCCAGGAGGGCTACCACACCTAACTTCTTATAGTAAATGCTACTCACCTTTTGCCCTACATTAAGACTATGAATATTTTGAGATAAATAATGAGTACTGTGTGTGTGTTTTACTTTTTATTGTTTTTAATGCCTAAGTTCTATTGCTAACTTAATATATGTTAGTGTAAACTTGTCATCTGGCTGTTTAGCTAGAACTTCTTTTATTCTATCAATTGAGTACAAGAAACTGCCCATTTACCTATTTTTTTAATTCTTTGATCCTGGGAGCAAGGTTGCGAGCAGGGGTCTTGACCCTCAAAAGGTTGAATGTCGCAGTGCCGTTGGCTAGACTGTGATGTCATAAGCAATGACTGCTTCTTTTTCGGGTCACCTTGCCTCAGTGGGAGATGGTCTTAAAAATGAATTCAGGCAAAATGGGTTGAAAGGGGAGAAAGTTATCATAATTTCTTGGTTGATGAGTGGTTAGTTGAGTAATTGAAGTCATTATGTTTGCTTGAAATTTGTGTTAAGGTTAGCCAGATATTAGGTAAATGGACATGTACACAAATAAGACATTATGCTGCAGTGTTTCATATATCAGGCATTTTAGGCCAATGCAAGCCATGCATGGACATGCATAAATGGAGCAAAACAAAATTTCTGGAAGGTGGGGCAATCTTAAGGAGGTGGTGGTGGTAGTTGTAGTGTGAGCCTGCAGTGATTATTAGTAATGTAGTTTGAAAGTTTAATTTATTTAGGAATCTTTTTTTTTTTTCTTGCTTTTGCTTTGCAGGTAGCAAGAAGTTATTCAAAGGCTCAGTGTGAAGGCTTTCTATGGACGATGCTTGAAATGTTCATTAAGTTGCATTGTCCAGTAAGTTGATTAATCATGTGTAGCTAAATGGCCATATGTACTGCAAATAAAATATTTATGCAGCTACAATTGCTCGCCAGGAGCTTTGTCATACCAGTACATTGTGTGGACACATGTCCACTTAAATATTTAACATTTGTAATATTGGTAATAATTTATGTAGCAGTGTCCATTTCAAGCATGTCACTTGAAGACCTTTCTCCACACTCACAGCTTTTGCAATATACAGATTTTTCTTACTGTATATCCTTGCCAAAATGGTGATCTCTAAATCTATGTGAACACAATTCCCCCAGTCATAACTCCTCCTGCTTCTTACTTGCTCATCCACCACTAACTACTAATGCTTCAACTTCTGCTACAGCTAATAACACTGCTGTTACCTTCAAGGATGTCCTGCCCTTCAGAAACCTCAACTTAATTCCTCATATACCCAGTATCAGTACTTTATATGTTTGTATCCTTTTGAAGCCAGTGAGAGAATGTGTTTTTGCACATGTCTGTTTACCTAAAAATTGTGGGTGATCTTGCCAATAATTTGGTTAACTAGATGTGTGTTCTGGATGGGTGGGGGGAAAGGGGATTGTAGTCCAGAGGTCACTTGGATTGATATCCATGTACTTCTGCTAAGCTTGCTATTGAATGAGTGATGAGTGTCTCCTATGGGTTGTCTCGAATGTTTATATAGGTGGTTTGTCGTTTAACAAATACTCATTTTCACTACTTAATCTTCTTTTTTTTTTCCCCTGCAGTTTACCAGTTGCCCAAATTGTACATCAAGCAGCATTACTGTGTTTCTTGTGCTATTCACTCCAAGGTGGTGAGGAACCGCAGCCGCAAGGCCCGGAAGATCCGCACCCCACCACCTCGTTTCCCACGTGCTCAAGTAAGTGATGGAGGCTTGTGCTTTCCTCTTAGTATTTAAGGTGTGTTTTGGTTTATATATAAGTAAAATCTGGCAATTTCTCAGATATTGATTAGTGTAAAGGAGTTAAGTAGTGATGCAAGCCTAGTATTCATTGCTGCTACAATCCTGCTGTTTGCTGTTGAATCCATTTATTTTTTTTTTTTTTTTTTTCCTAGAAATCTTGGACGACCTGTTCATAAATCAATCTTGCTCTTCAAAGTTCCTCACCTTTTCATAACATTGCTGTTTCTATGGTTGACAGTACAGTAATTCATCAAACCACATTAATTACCAAAAGATTACTGTTAATGTGCTTAGATAACTCGTCATATAGCAGATATTCATTTGGCATTGAATATCATTCAGTTTTGGCATTGACACTTGCTTATTTAGTGAAAAAAATATTCTGTAATTCAATATTGTCCACTTAGGCCAATAACCAATTGGCTCTACTATTTGCCATTTTATCAACTGAAAGGAAACTGCGGCCATACCCCGTTGAAAACACCGCATCTCGTCTGGTCATCGAAGTTAAGCACCGGTGGGTCTGGTTAGTACGTGGATTGGGTGACTACCTTGGAGCAACAGATGCCGTTGATGTTTTTTATAGGTAGTAGATTGGTTGGCCTCAGTCATCCATAGTTCTTATCTTTGAAGACGTTGACACTGGGGATTATATTTTTCAAACTGCTCTGTTCTTTGTTGAATATTTGTATTCACAACAAACCTACAAATTTGGAGTTGAACACTAGATGGAATTGCAGACCAAGATCATCACGTCACAACTTGATAACAGTTCAGAACATCTAGTATTGTCTTGCATTTGTGGGTTGGCTGTGAAATGTTTCAGCTACGGCATTGATTTTTTATTAATCATCTTTATTTACCTTGACTATTGTATTTGGTTTCTTTATATTGTCTTACTTGTTTCCAATGTATCAGGGGTGAGAATTTTCAGATTTGTAATTTGTACTGTCTACAGGCATTTTTTATACAGTGAAAAACCAAGAACACACGAGATAGTTGCCACACACACTCATGTTTGTTTTTTATTATAACAAATGATAGGAGACGTTTTAATTCTGTTATTGCTACCTTAATAGTCTTTGAATATGCATTCCCATCAGTAGCTGGAATTACCCTAGACCTGGCAGCAGTAGTAATGAGGTTTTGTATAAACTACTTTGTATAGTGTTTTTGGTAATGTAAGACTGCAGATCTTATTGTCTAGGAAAATTTCCAGTTCTGTTGGAACCTCAGATCTGCTGCAGCTCAGTATAAAATAAAACTGGTGAATGAAAGTGGAGAATTGTAATGTAAAATTGCTTGCCGTGATAGGTAAAGTGATCAATAAGAATGTACTGAAAAAAACATTGAAAATAATTGTCAAGCATTTTGCAGGTTAAAACTAAAACCGGTCATAGTACAGTAAATGATCAGTCATCCCAATTTTGTTTCACTTGATAGCATAGTCAGTCAGGTAAGGGGCATAACATAGGTATTCAGTGTTATAAAAAAAAAAATTCTTGCAAAATGTGAATTTAATGTTCATCTTGATGTCTTAATGCCTGTACCCACTTCCTCATGGGAGGTTCTGTGATGCTTGTGAGGGGCTCTTGATCTAAGGAATTGGACCCATGGTTCACTTGGATTGAACCCAAGTGCCTCATTCCCTCAGGCATTATATGACCCTTAACAGTTTAATGGTTCCCCCCTTGAATGTAATAATTTTTACTTTTATTTTTTTAATTTGAGGTGGTTTCATCAGTTTAGTAGCTTGGAAGTTTTTGGAGAATGCATTTTTCATTTATGCTTAAGTATGGATTTTAATTCTGACCCTTTAGTGCTCCTACAGCCCATCTCTGCTGTGTTGAGCATTCACTCATTATATGGCTGCTTAAAAATAGTGAAGCCTCCTTGTTTACTAAATTTCTTTTCTAACTAGCATTTCACTAAAATGTGCTTCTTAGTATTACCATATTTCAGTACTTGCAGTTATCAAAATCTTACAGATGCTTACATGACTTAATACAGCCTGTTCTAGCATATTAATTTGTTTATATCTGGGAGGGTTTGTTTTTATAAGAGTTCATTCACTCTGGTGGAAGGTAGGAGGGGTAGGGGTTGTCTCAGGAACAGCTGGAGGGAAGGGTTAAATCTTAAGGGCTTAAGTATACAGCAGGCAGGTGAACTCATCTGTATTTTTTGGCCTCATTCAAGTCACACACAGGCAACCTGTGGCCTTGGATGGTCTCCTTTCCTTCCTGCTCTGGAATTCTGAGGTTAGGAGTGAATGGAGACAACTGGTTTTTAATGGACATGCTGTTTGGAGTGAGGAAGGTAACTTTTTTGAAGGTACACTTGGTGAGGGGGAGGATGTGTTAGCCAGCTTGGAGTCCTGGGGATGGGAAGGGCAGTGCCTTCATTCTGGAGGAGGAGGAGGTAGAGATGTTAAAGTTAAAAGGTAATTTGATTCTGGTTTCCAAACAGCTCTGGAAGGATACGAAGTGAATGAAGGTAAATATGTTTTCTTTGGGTCCCTCTAACTTGGTGGCTCGCTGTTAAGTAAGAAAAAATATCATGAAATAAGAGAAAATACCAAAGGATTAGCAGTGAACTTGCATGTTAGAGGACAAGAGAATGTAAGAATTATAGGAGGATAAGCTTTTAGTATACCAGGAAATGTGTGGTAGAATTATTGAGGGTTAGGGGTAAAACAAAGTATGATTCTAGAGGCACGAGATTTAGGAAGGGAAGGGGATGTGTAGACCAAACTTGCCTGCCACATCACCCACAACTGTTTAACCCCCTTTTTAACATTTAGGTCCTTACAACTATTCGTCTAACTTGGCTCAAAACTCCTATATATTTTTGACATCTGCTAAAACCTCTTACACACTCCTCACCCCTGGTGCATACTCACTATAATCCACTTCTTACATCTTATCTTTATTATAACCCACTTAATTCGTGTTGATGTACTTATAATCCTGTTTCTTTCTATAGTTCATCCTTATATATTACTGTTATTCCTTCCTTAGCTGTGATTCAGATACACCCAGTCCCATTTACCCCTCCCTATTGATATTTTACTCCTTTGAGCTTTCATTTGCTTAGTGCTGGTACAACCAACTTTTTAATTTACAACTTCAACAATTAATGCTTTATCTGTACTACATCCATGCACATTTCAACACCCTTCTCTCTTGTTTTTTTTTAACTGAAGGGGGGGGGGGTACAAGCTTCTTGCTCCAAGCATTTTAGTTGCCTTTGTGACATGTAGCTGTCTTCCACCGAGGCAGGGTGACCCGAAAAAGGAGAAACTCATCCATAATAATTTTTTTTTTATTTAGTAATTTATACAGAAGTTACTAGCCCCACGTTCCTGGCGTTTTAGTTGCCTCGTGTGACATGCATGGCTTGAATTTGATTTTAAGAGTTAACCAATTTTACTAATATTTTCTTGTGCTGTTATTTTAAAATAACATTGAATATCAAATGTTATTTTTCAGTTAAAATTAACATTTTTATGAGTAATAATGTTAACATGAAATTAACTGCAGCCCAGCCCTTGTAAAAGATTTATTATAAAACCTGTTTGCCATATGGCTGATACCCTGCCCCTCAAAAAAAAAAAAAAAAAAAAAAAAACTCCTTAAAGTTACAAGATATTGACAGTGAAGAAAGGTCTTAGCAGTTGGCTCCCATGGCCCCAGGGATATTTTTGTTCATTCTCACCCCTGATGTGTATACATTTATTTCTGTCTAAGTAGGTGGTGATTAATTTTTAACGTGTGCAGAAGTCTTGAGCAATGTTTCAAATTTTCTTTAGTTGGTTGGGTCTGAAGATAAAGTAGTTTTGAAAATGGCTGATAGCTGAAATATTTGGAGTACCTTGCATGCACCATCCTGCATTGATGTGCAGAAAAGGTGGTACAAATAGATGTGATGGTAATTAGTAATTAATTGCTTTTAGACCAAAATTGTGCAAAGTATGTCTCTCAGTTTTGTTGAACATTGTTTTTTGAAACGTAGAATTATTCTCCATGTTTGTCCTTTTGTTTAACCCCTATAACCAGCAATTGATTAAACTTGGAAGTAATGAAATTGCCAGAATTTTTATTCATTTTATGATACTGGACACTACTAAAAAGTTTTTATGCTAGTTTATTTAATTTTCAAGTATTTCAAAGTTTTTACTTAAAGTTAAAATCCTGAATGGGTTTGAGAAGGATAAGCGTGGTTGAAGTGCACCTTATCTGGTTTTATAGTTTCAGTATGCAAGCCTCAGTTATACTTTGAATGAAAATTTAATCCAAAAATTATAGTAAGGAAAATCAACTCTCTCGTATAATGTAAACATTTTTCTTTTAGTAAATAATTGTTGGTGTAAGTCCTTGTAAAAATTGATTTATTGCTCATCAGTATACTCTAGTTAAATAAATGAAGTTATGAAGTGTATAGCTTTAATGTAAATTTGGGAATGCTGGAAAGGTTGTGTATTCCACCTGCTGGATAGTGAAATAGATGTAGATATATATTTAAATTTTTATACAGTGTATTAGGCAGTGTTCTTATGGGCTAACCTCATTATAGGTAAAGTTACTTGTCACCACTGCAAAATTATGACACGTCTAAATACATGTGGAATATATATCTATGTATAAAACATTTTTTAGACATGTTACATCTTTATTAATTATCTTAATTGAATGCTTATGGTTGTAAATTTGTTAACATTTCTTCTTACTTTGCAGGACACCCGCCCACGTCCCAACTAAATGAAAGAATTTCAGTAAAAAAAAAAAATCTTTTATTTATCCTAGTCTTAGTCTATGCATTTTCAGCTACAATGCTGAAATAGGAATTACTGGGCCTCTATTTTAATTGTAAATGAACAGATATGCTCATAGCTGGTTGTAATCTTCTAATAACCAAATACTGTATTAAAAGATTAATCATTATGTATCTGGTAAACATACTAGGTGTTGATATTTTTCATGCTGCCACAGCTGTTTTCCTATCTGATGAAATTGACTCCCTCAAAGTGGGGGGACATGATTACTGTTTAGCTTGGTTCTAATGTTCCTTATGATTGTGTTGGTTGTGGTAGTTGCTATGTTCCAAAGAGAATAGTGTGGTGATGAATGTGTTGTACTCTTGGAGAGGCTTTACATTCTAGGAGTGGCAGTTTATTGGTGTGATTCATGGTGTTTCAGTTCATCTCCCATTTCCCTCAGGTAGGTTCCTTGATACCATTGAGGGGCTTTTGATCCAAAAAAAATTTGGACCTGACTCCCCCTTATATTGGATCAAACCTAATTGCCTGTCAGGTGCTATATGACCCCTATGGGCTTAGTGCTCCCTATTCAAACTGATTTCCTTCTAACCAATACGTGGACATCTATACGTTTAGTACTTCCCTTGTAAGAGTCCTTTCCCATTATTGGCCAAATTAGTATTGCACAGTGGTCTTTTTTTAGTCTAAGCATGTGGTTTTGCCAATACTTCCTTGCAAGGGAGATAGTGTATTTTAATGTCAGTGAAAGACTCCTGGTTCAAGCCTGATACTTCCCATTACCCAAGTGGTGTTTGACCTCTTTGGATGTAGCACTTTATATAAGCCTGGAAGTGCTAAACCCTTCGAGGGGAGGTCTCTTGATCTGAAGAATTAGACCTTGGGTCATATCTAAATATTCTCTTAGCCCTCAAAGGAGGTTCCTTGAAGTTGGTGAGGGGATCTTGATATAGGGAATTGGATCTGTGCTCTAGTTTCCTGAATTGAGCCTGAATGCCTCCTCCTCCCCCCCCCCCTACACACACACGTGCTGTACAATCCTATGGGTTTAGCACTCCCCCGCAGCGCTGTATAGCCCTTGTGGCTTAGCGCTTCTTTTTTTATTATAATAGCACTCCCCATGATTATAACAAGATGTCCTCATATTCCATTTGGCCACTATTTGGAGATATTCGTTCTCGTCTTCTTTTTTTCCTACAAGGTTATGATTCCTAACTTTAATTTACAAGCTAAGAGCTGTTATCCACATCAGCTTACTTAAAAGCCATTTTATTGTTTAGATAGACAAATAGGGAACAGGATGATGTAGCCATCTATGAGCCAGTGACTTTATTTGGTCAATTGATTATTTCATTGATATAGTTATGCTTTATGAACATATTCCAGACTCCAGTGATCCTAGGAATAAGTGATCTCAGATGAAGTTGATGTTCTGGAGAAAGTTGTAGGTGAGATGAAGGGGGATGAGACAGGCAGTCCAAGAAAATGGAGCATACTAGAGGTGTGAGTATACTTGTGCCACATCCAGAATCTTGCCACCTCTACTGTCGAGCAAAAGAGTTTAGTCTGAGTACTGTAAGCTTCCTGGCTAATTTTGCAAGATTTACAATATGGTTCTTCATAGTCAGTTTGAAGTTTAAATTTCACCCAAAGGATATATACTTCATCCCTGGGTATCAGCACACACTACTGCATCAACATTACCATTATGGTGCCTAGAAACCATTGTTTTTCTCAGCAGGTGTGACCTGCCATTGTTTTTCTTCTGGGCTGATATAGCTGTAAGCTGCTGATTGATGCAACTTAGAGCAGTTGGCATTTCCTCTTTGATGAGTAAATGTCAGAGTAGTTGTCTGCATGTACATAAGATTGAGATGAGTTGAAGGGCTTTAAAGCAGACATTCCATCACAATGGCCCATTCACACTTCACTGAAACATTTGCACCAAGTGTGTCTTGCTGATTGTCCTGTTGAGAACTACACTTCGAACTACCTAGCGCTGTATAGCACTTGTGGCTTAGCGCTTCTTTTTGATTATAATAATTCGAACTACCTTGAAGGCAATCACTGAGGAAGCATATTCAAAGAGCTGGTGACTCCTAGCACTTGCAGTTTTGTCAAGAGTCAAGTGCTGCATGGTCCCAGTGGGTTTAGCACTTCGTTATGACTAATAATTTGTCGAGTTCCTGGTGCCATATTTAGTTAAAAACATCAATGTCCAGTGCTACTACATAGCCGAACTTGGATTCATCCAGTGACAGGTGCCACATATTGGGGAGGTTTAACAGCAGAGCAACCTCTTCAAGGGGGGCTCCTTGTTGTGAAGAGGCTCTTGGTCTGAGGAATCAGACCTGTCGGTCTCCTTCCTCAGACCGAACCTAATTACCCCCCAATCCCCCCCTCCCTATCCCATCCTCCCCTTTTTCCTTTCCTCCTCCCCACCCCTCCCTTTTGCCCTTCCTCTTTTTGGCCTTTGGGATTTCTCCCACAGGCGCGCTAGTTCCTAGGTAGGGGAAAGGATACCGGGGTCCATCCCATTCCGTTGAGGTTCTTGGCAGTGGCGTAGTTTGCCGTGGAATCTGGATGTCCTGATCCCTCTCCGGTATCCCGGAGTAGCTTTAGGTGTCTTTCGGGCGACGGGTGTATCTCTGGAAGCCACCTTTCGGATTCTGGGGGTGGTGGCCGAAGGAGGTATGCTTTGTGGCGGATATCCGGCCGCCCTCTCTTTTGTCCACCGAGGTAGCTCGGCAGATGTGAGGTTGCTATCCCGGATTGCTGGTTTACTGGCATGAAGGGTAGGGTATGGCACAGGTTCCATGCTGCATCTGCGCTACTAGCAGTGCTGAGGTCCTCTTGGGCGCGGGGGGATTTCCGGCCCCTTCATTCCTCCTGGGAACTATTCCTCCCCGCTCCCGCCTTTTTATTTTTTATTTTTTTTTTCTTAAAAACAAGCAAAGGAGTAACCTAACCATGGAGAACCCAATCCATGAACCCACTACCCCTGGGCCCCTTCTTGATAACACACCCCATTCTGACCCTGCCTTGTTTTTGGCCCACTCTTCGGACACTCCTGATGCCCCTGTACCTCTTGCTGGTGCTGTTTCCTCACCCGCTTCAGGTACCGGGGCTTCAACTGACTCCTTCGATTTGTCTGACCTCCGCTCTCCCTTGACTATGCTTCCGGCCTCTCCCTCTACGGTACGGCAATTTTCGAATCGCCAGCCCATTTCACGCCGGACCAACTCCGGTCCTACTCCTAAACGCCAATGTCAATCTCCTGATGATGCTCCTTCGTTACCTTCCCATTCTACTCGGAAAAGACCGACACGTCATGCACTCCCCCTCCACGCTCGGTTTCAGACCACACAATGGACTAAATTCTTTACTTTAAGACCGACTTCTTCTTCTGCCTATCTTTCTGACCATAGTATTGGCAAAGCGCTCCTGCGTCATGTTGGTAGAGATATTTCATTTCATGCTCTCAAGAGCGGTACGTGCATCGTCACTGTCCAGAATGCTACCCAAGCTCATGATCTTTCTCTCCTTTCGAATATCGATACTACTCCTATCACTATTGAAAAACATCTTTCTCTCAATTCTTATAGTGGTACTGTCATTCTGCCCCATACCATAGTCCAACAGAATTTCCAGTCATGTGGCAATGACATTTTTGAACAGCTGGAACTCCAGGATCTCCCAATCCTCAAAGTAGACACTTGTGCCCTTCCTGCCTGTGGGTGGAGACGTTACCCTTGCAATGTGGCTCGTTTAACTTTTGACAGCCGAGAACTCCCGTCCTCTGTATATGTCGCGGGACATCGGTTACAAGTTCGAAAGGTGATACCTACACCGCAATAGTGTAGAAATTGCTGGCATTTTGGTCACCCAGCGAAATATTGCAGATCTATAGCCGAATGCCCAGTCTGTGGTGTTGTCGACCATTCTAATAAATCTTGTCAACCTCCATCTTGCCTTAATTGTAATGAAGCTCACCCTTCGTACTCCCGCCGTTGCCAAGTCTACTTAAATGAACGTGAAATCCATTGCCTCAAAGAGGCAGAAGGTCTAGCTTATGCTATGGCAGTTACTCGTCTCCGCCTCCAAGGGAGACTACCCTGTGTTTCTTATTCTCGTGTTAAAAAACATCCCCCCACTTCTGGGGTCCCATCTTCTGCAGCCTCCTCTGTTGTTACCCCTCCCATAGCCACTCCGGCATCTAATCCTTTTGCTGTCCTTGGCTCTGACGTCCCGACTACAACTCAGTCTGTTTTCACATCTTCGCGTCCTTCCTCACAAGCCCCAGTATCGACAAGACCTCGTACGACACCTAATACCAATCGCCCCTCTACTTCTCAGAAGTCCAAAAAATCCACATTGCTCAAATCTTTGCCCCTTCCTTCCCTTCTTCCACCTCCACACTTTACCTTTCCAGTCTCTGTGCCTAGTTCTTCCCCTCTCTCTGGCTCTATTACAAGTGTGGAGATTCACCCTCCTCCTCGTACTATGCCTTCCACCCCCGTCCCCTCCCAAGTTTCTCCCTCTTCTGCCACCTCCCAGGTTTCTGCCTCTTCTGTCCCCCCCCCCCCCCACACTTCATCTCCAGTCCCTTAAACTCTTTCGTCCCCCTCTACTTTGGTACAGTCCATTACTGTCCCAATCTTTACTCACCCTCCCCCTTCTATCTCCAATATGGTCTCCCATACATCTTTGAATTCAGAAACACTTGAAGCCATTTCAGAATATATTGCAGAGACTAAACCTTCAATGGACACTGATTCACTTCCTGTTCCTTCTCTCCCCTCTCCTCCATCTTCACAACCCCATTCTTCACAATGCTCCGTTCCTTCGCTCCCCTCAAGGAAGGTTCCTTGATGTTGGTGAGGGGCTCTTGATTTAGGGAATTGGATCTGTGCTCCAGTTCCCCGAATTAAACCTGAATGCCTTCCACATCCCCCCCCCCCAGGTGCTGTATAATCCTCCGGGTTTAGCGCTTCCCCCTTGATTATAATAATAATAATCCGTTCCTTCGCTGCTTGAACGTCTTCCAATGCCACCACATGTTGACTTTTCTAACCCCTCTAGTCCGTAGGTGCCTTTCCCTATGGATTCCTGGTATTTTCATGGCCTATTGAGTGGAATATCCGCTGCCTCGGGTAATCGGGGTGAGCTTCAGGTGTTGCTTTCCAGGTTTTCCCCTGTTGGTGCTTGCTTACAAGAACCACAATTACACTCAGCTGTTTTCCAACCTATCTCAGGCTATAATTTATTGTATTCTTAAGATCCTTTCTCATATGGGACCTTTAATGAAAGTGCCCTTCTTCTACACAATGATATTCCATACTGTCAACTACTTGTCCATACCTCGCTGCATTACACTGCAGCCCATATCCACTTGAATAAGTGGTTTACAATATGTTCTTTATATCTCTCTCTCCTCGAGCATTTTCTATCCCAGACTTTCCCTTTCTTGTTTCATCCTTACCACCACCACTTCTGTTACTTGGTGATTTTAACGCCCACCATTTCCTCTGGGGGGGTCTCATTGTGACTCACGTGGCATCCAGTTGGAGGCTTTTCTCGCCTCTCACCCCCTCCATGTTTTAAATACGGGTACTCCCACCCATTTTGATCCTCGTACTCATACTCTCTTGCATCGATCTGTCAGTCTGCTCTTCCTCCACTGCACTAGACTTCACCTGGTCTGTTCTACCGGACTTACATGACAGCGATCATTTTCCAATCATTCTTACTTCTTCATATTCACCACCTTTCCGTAGCCCTCGCTGGCAATTTGATCGGGCAAATTGGGACCTTTACTCGTAGCTCACTGCTTTTAGTGAGGTTCCTTCTTCATCCTCCATTGATCAGCTCGTACACCTCTTTTCGATGTCAGTTTATACCGCAGCTTCTCATTCTATACCCCAAACCTAAGGCAAGCATTCTCAGAATTGCGTGCCTTGGTGGTCTCCTGCTTGTGCTCGTGTAGTACGTTTGAAACGCACTGCATGGGGCAGGTACGGATACAATAGAACCAATGAGAGACTTCTTGATTTTAAGCAGAAGTGTGCAATCGCTCGCCGTGTCATCCGTGATGCTAAACGCACTTGCTGGCGAGACTATGTTTCCACCATCACCTCTGCTTCCTCTGAGTGCAGTCTGGAAAAAAGTGAGGAAATTGAGTGGTAAATACTCTCCTGACCCGGCTCCTGTTCTACGGGTCGCCAGTATTGATGTAGCAAACCCTCTTGACGTTGCCATTGAAATTGACACTCATCTGGTCCGTATTTCCAGGGGGCTCCATCTATGCCCCTCGTTTCTTTCCTCAAAGTCTGCCAGAGAGTTAGTACCCTTGGACTTTTCTTCACTCAGAGAAGAACAGTATAATGTGCCTTTTACACTTCAGGAACTGGAGGCAACACTCTCAGCTTGCCGATCATCGGCAGCTGGACCTGACGACATTCATATTCGTATGTTACAACATTTACATCAGTCAGCCCTTGTAGTCCTCTTACACCTCTTCAATCTTATTTGGGCACAAGGAGTTCTTCCCCAGCTGTGGAAATCTGCCATTGTTCTCCCTTTCCGCAAGCCGGGTACTACAGGATATGATGCCTCCCACTATCGTCCCATCGCTCTTACTAGTGCAGTTTGCAAAGTGATGGAACGTCTGGTAAATCGCCGTTTAATGTGGTATTTAGAAAGACAACAGTCTCTCCGCTAGTCAATATGGCTTTCGTAAGGGCCGTTCTACCATAGACCCCTTACTATGCTTGGATACGTATGTTCGTAATGCCTTTGCAAATAATCACTCGGTTATTGCCATATATTTTGACATTGAGAAGGCATATGACACAACTTGGAGGTATAATATTATGGCCCAAGCGCACTCCTTAGGCCTCCAAGGCAATCTACCATCCTTCCTTTGAACTTTTTAACTGACAGACACTTCCGTGTTCGAGTCAATAATGTGCTTTCCCCGGACTTTGTCCAAGCTGAAGGTGTCCCTCAGGGATGTGTTCTGAGCACAACACTTTTTCTCCTTGCTATAAATGATTTGGCCTCTGTTCTTCCACCCAATATTTGGTCATCACTCTGTTGATGACTTCGCTATTGCCTGTGCAGGCGCTGACTGTCATCTCATTGCAGTTTCTCTCCAGCATTAGGTCGACCGTGTTTCCACTTGGGTCACCACGCATGCGTTTAAATTTTCCAGTACCAAAACTCATTAAATTACTTTCACTAGACGCTCTGTCATCTCCGATCATCCTTTGTATCTCTATGGCTCTCGTATCCCCGAACGTGATACAGTCAGGTTTCTAGGCCTTCTCTTTGACTGTAGGTTATCCTGGAAACCTCACATTACCTCTCTGAAGGCAACTTGTCACAGCCGGCTAAACCTTCTTAAAACCCTTGCTCATCTTTCCTGGGGAGCTGATCGTCGAACTCTGCTTCGCTGACATTCAGTCCTCGTTTTATCGAAACTTGATTATGGTGACCAGATTTATTCAGCGGCCTCTCCTGCTACTCTCTCTAGCCTTAACCCCATCCGTCACCAAGGATTACGTTTATGCCTTGGTGCTTTTCGCTCTTCCCGTTGAGAGCCTCTATGCAGAAGCGAATGTTCCATCCTTGTCTGATCGCCTTGATGCCCATTGCCTTCGCTACTATGTACGCTCTCACGATCTCCACAAGCCTTCCATTTATAGAATGGTCACCGATATTAGTAGACATTCTTTATCTGTTCGCTACCCCTGTTTGCTCCATCCCTTTTCTCTTCGCCTACATTCGCTCTTGTCTTCCCTTCAGTTACCACCTTTATATGTTCATGTAGCATCTCACTTTTCCCTACCCCCCTGGGAAGTTCCAGCTGTTCGGGTCTGTTCTTTCTCACTCCCTTGCTTGAAAGCCCAACTGCCTACGATGGCTTCCCGCTCTCTTTTTCTTGATCACTTCGAATCTCATTCTCATGCCATCGCTGTGTACACAGATGGCTCTAAGTCTTCAGACGGTGTCGGATTCGCAGCAGTGTTTCCGGACAGCGTCGTGCGAGGGCATTTACTATCTTCGGCTAGCATTTTTACTGCTGAATTGTATGCCATTCTTGCAGCACTTATTCGTATCGCATCTATGCCTGTGTCATCATTTGTGGTAGTCTCAGACTCCCTTAGTGATCTACAGGCTGTACGAAAATTTGATACATCTCACCCCCTAGTTCTCCGTATCCAACTTTGGCTACGCCGTATCTCTACCAAGCATAAAGATATTGTTTTTTGTTGGGTCCCTGGTCATGTCGACGTACAGGGCAATGAACAGGCAGACACTGCTGCGCGGTCGGCAGTACATGACCTACCAATTTTCTATAGAGGTGTTCCATTTCTGGACTATTTTGCTGCAATAGCTACCCACCTTCACACCCGTTGGCAACAACGTTGGTCAACTCTGCTCGGTAACAAACTTCATTCTATTAAACCGAGCATAGGTTACTGGCCGTCTTCTTGTCATCAGTGATGAGGTTGGGAGACCACTCTCTCCCGCCTTCGCATTGGCCACACACGTCTTACTCATGGGTATCTCATGGAGAGGCACCCTGTTCCTCTCTGTGAGCAGTGTCAAGTTCCAGTATCGATTAGCCACATTCTGTTAGACTGCCCTCTCTATCAACGAGCACGCAGAATTTACCTCCAATGTTGTCTTCGTTCTACTACTCTCTCTTTACCTTCCCTTCTTGCTGATGGACCCTCCTTTAATCCTGACTCTCTCAATGACTTCTTGACAACGACTGATTTACTCCACAAACTCTGATGATGATACATTTCGCACTCCCCTCAGCCTTTTCTAGTTCAGTCTCTTGCTGCCCTTTACCCTTTCACCATCCACTGCCCCGCTGTTATCCGTAACCTATTACTCATCCATCTCCCTTTTGCCACCTGATGCCCTCGCTTCCTTCCTGCCCTGCAGCGCTGTATAGCCCTTGTGGCTTAGCACTTCTTTTTGATTATAATAATAATAACAGCAGAGCAACAATGCGACCTTTTCCGAAGCTATATTATGGGCATATCCCTAGTACATGTAGTCAGTTTATAGTTAATGCTACTGTATTCCTTTTCCTAAAAGTATAAAAAGTTTTATTCTACTGTAGTATAATAGTAATGTCTTGTTTTAGGTATAATAAGAGATTACCTTAATCTACATACTTTATTTAAATTAAAAAACTATTGGTAATAGTAATATGTATGTTTGCCTAAGTCATCCGTTTTCCTTGATTGTCTTTTCACCTTTCATTTTATCTGCTTAACTCCTTTCTCGTGCATTTCACTTTACTTTTATACATAATTTTATCTGAGTAGGTCAAGTATATAAGTGATAGTTGAACAATATAAAATTTTGTTTCCACTATTTAATGATTGTAACCCATTAAAATGTGTAAAAATTATTGGAGAGTGTTTTAAGAAGGTATAGAACAAAAGGAATTAAGCTACAAAACTAATGTACTTCCTTTACAGACTAATTATATTAAAATAGTATTCAATTTGTGCTAGCATAGTGCTAGTAAAATTAGGTAAAAGGACAAGTGCAACTAATGCAACATTTTATTGTGACGTTTCGCTCTCCAGTAGCTTTGTCAAGCCATTACATAACAGTTTGACAAAGTTCCTGGAGAACCAAATGTTGCCACAATAAAATGTTGCACCTGTCTTTTTATTTAACATATTGTCGGTAATTCTACCAACATTAATACAATACGCTAGTAAAATTGTAAAGACAATACGGTATCACACTGTTAAACCCTCAATCATGTACAACTTGCGGAAGGTCATGTGTATCCTTTCACCAGGAACGTTGGGCTCCTTTGGAAACTGCAAAGAAATATTTATTAATAAATCTTTAAAGAATACAATAATGATGGAGGTACTCCTTACTGAAAGGGCAGGTCGAAATTTACTTAATATCAAATCTATTATAATCTGAGTAATGGTTTTGGAGAAATGTATACAAATATTTTTTTTCTTTTTCTTGAAAATAATATAGGTTCACAACTTGTACATTTATGAATGAAACGATTCTGAAATAAAGACCCTTCAGTATCAAAATTTAAAAGAAACATTGTCTTCTGTGGTAGAGAATCTTTTTCTAAAGGTAAAAATTAAAAAAAATCTGATTAAACTTTATGGAACTATGCAGGTGCAAAGTTGGAGGTTGTGAGCAATCTACACGACTGCAATTTTGCCCAGTTTGGAGCCTACTTTAGGTGTTTCAGTGTTCATTCTTAGCTATTTCACTAGTAGGCCTTTTTTTATTATTATAATTGTATAATGTAAGTGTGGGGGAGGTACGTGAGGCATTACGTACAATGAAAGGGGGTAAAGCAGCTGGAACTGATGGGATCATGACAGAAATGTTAAAAGCAGGGGGGGATATAGTGTTGGAGTGGTTGGTACTTTTGTTTAATAAATGTATGAAAGAGGGGAAGGTACCTAGGGATTGGCGGAAAGCATGTATAGTCCCTTTATATAAAGGGAAAGGGGACAAAAGAGACTGTAAAAATTATAGAGGAATAAGCTTACTGAGTATACCAGGAAAAGTGTACGGTAGGGTTATAATTGAAAGAATTAGAGGTAAGACAGAATGTAGGATTGCGGATGAGCAAGGAGGTTTCAGAGTGGGTAGGGGATGTGTAGATCAAGTGTTTACATTGAAGCATATATGTGAACAGTATTTAGATAAAGGTAGGGAAGTTTTTATTGCATTTATGGATTTAGAAAAGGCATATGATAGAGTGGATAGGGAGCAATGTGGCAGATGTTGCAAGTATATGGAATAGTGGTAAGTTATTAAATGCTGTAAAGAGTTTTTATGAGGATAGTGAGGCTCAGTTAGGGTGTGTAGAAGAGAGGGAGACTACTTCCCGGTAAAAGTAGGTCTTAGACAGGGATGTGTAATGTCACCATGGTTGTTTAATATATTTATAGATGGGGTTGTAAAGGAAGTAAATGCTAGGGTGTTCGGGAGAGTGGTGGGATTAAATTTTGGGGAATCAAATTCAAAATGGGAATTGACACAGTTACTTTTTGCTGATGATACTGTGCTTATGGGAGATTCTAAAGAAAAATTGCAAAGGTTAGTGGATGAGTTTGGGAATGTGTGTAAAGGTAGAAAGTTGAAAGTGAACATAGAAAAGAGTAAGGTGATGAGGGTGTGAAATGATTTAGATAAAGAAAAATTGGATATCAAATTTGGGAGGAGGAGTATGAAAGAAGTGAATGTTTTCAGATACTTGGGAGTTGACGGGTCGGCGGATGGATTTATGAAGGATGAGGTTAATCATAGAATTGATGAGGGAAAAAAGGTGAGTGGTGCGTTGAGGTATATGTGGAGTCAAAAAACGTTATCTATGGAGGCAAAGAAGGGAATGTATGAAAGTATAGTAGTACCAACACTCTTATATGGGTGTGAAGCTTGGGTGGTAAATGCAGCAGCGAGGAGACGGTTGGAGGCAGTGGAGATGTCCTGTTTAAGGGCAATGTGTGGTGTAAATATTATGCAGAAAATTTGGAGTGTGGAAATTAGGAAAAGGTGTGGAGTTAATATAAGTATTAGTCAGAGGGCAGAAGAGGGGTTGTTGAGGTGGTTTGGTCATTTAGAGAGAATGGATCAAAGTAGAATGACATGGAAAGCATATAAATCTATAGGGGAAGGAAGGCGGGGTAGGGGTCGTCCTCGAAAGGGTTGGAGAGAGGGGGGTAAAGGAGGTTTTGTGGGCAAGGGGCTTGGACTTCCAGCAAGCGTGCGTGAGCGTGTTAGATAGGAGTGAATGGAGACGAATGGTACTTGGGACCTGACGATCTGTTGGAGTGTGAGCAGGTTAATATTTAGTGAAGGGATTCAGGGAAACCGGTTATTTTCATATAGTCGGACTTGAGTCCTGGAAATCGGAAGTACAATGCCTGCACTTTAAAGGAGGGGTTTGGGATATTGGCAGTTTGGAGGGATATGTTGTGTATCTTTATATGTGTATGCTTCTAGACTGTTGTATTCTGAGCACCTCTGCAAAAACAGTGATAATGTGCGAGTGTGGTGAAAGTGTTGAATGATGATGAAAGTATTTTCTTTGTGGGGATTTTCTTTCTTTTTTGGGTCACCCTGCCTCGGTGGGAGACGGCCGACTTGTTGAAAAAAAAAAATATATTTATTTAGTAAAAAAAAAAAAATTGCCTTATGGTTGGTAATGTATGGTATTTTTACTGACGTTTCCAAGTGTATAGTGATTTTCATGGAGGCAGGTGATAGCTGTGCAACTGCCTGTCATGGTACAGGTATTATATAGGGTTCACATTAACCTTCCCCCCACATTTCCATATCAATAAGAAATGACAACTACAGTGAACAGAGAACTATTATTTTTTTAGTTTCAACAAATTACATTTCAGACAATTTTTTTGATAAGATGCCATTCTGAGGAATGTAACTGTCATCTTGATGGTTAACGGTACTTGATAAAGCCCAGTGTTTTGTGAAGCACTGTACAATTATAGGAATCTACTGCATGTGTGTCACTGTCACCTAAGAGGAAAGATGTAACCAACAAAACACAGGATGCATGAATTGGGTGTTCCATAGCTCAATTGGTAGAGTACTCAGATCACACACAGGTCCATGGTTCAATCCCCAGTAAAGGTGGACATATTAGGACGTGTTTCCTCAAGACACCTGCTGTCCATGTTCACCCATCAGTAAAATGGGTACCTGGGTGTTAGTCGACTGGTGTGGATTGCATCCTGGAGACTAACCTGACCTAATTTGCCCAAAATGCTCTGTATAACAAGGGGCTTTCTATATAGTAGTATGTCATTGATATCAGCTAGGCCTGTATAACTTGTACATGTAGAAATAAAGATCATTATTATTATTATGTTAGGTAAAAGAACTCTGACAACTAACGAGACATTTATTATTGCTACATTCACTCCCTAGGAACTTGATAAAGCCTCTGAAGAGTGAAACTTTCAAAACTAATCTAAGGAAATTCGATCAGTTTTGAAAGTTTTTTTTTTTTTACTCCCAGAGCCTGGACATGAGCCAGGCTCATCTGGTGCTGATCAACCAGGCTGTTGCTCCTGGTGGCCTGCTGGCCCACATATCCATCATAGCCTGGCTAATCTGGCAACTGGTGAAGATACTTGTCCAGTTTCCTCTTGAGAACTTCTATACTTGTCTGATGTAAGATGTTAAATAATCTGGGACTACAGATGTTGATACAATGTTCTCAGTGTGCCTACAATACCCCTATTTTTCATTGATTTATTTTACTTTTTTTTTTTTCCATCTATCTCGCTCCAATATGTTGTTATGGCAGTATGCAGACTTGGAGCAAAGCCCTAAATACTTTCAAGGTATATATTATCATGTATTTCTCTCCTCCACTCTAGCAAGTACATATTTAGGTCTTTTAGGTGTTCCCAGTAATTTGAATCTAAATGACAGATTGACAGATCCAACAGCAAAGTGCTGGACCTGTCAATCTTGAGAGCACAGTTTGAACCTCCCGTTCTTTTTTCTGTTTATTTATTAGCAGTTGTTTATTACAACTTAATCTGAGTTCATAGACTACATATATGGCTTTTAGGAAGATTTACCTGAAGGGTATTCCAGGGATCAACGACCCCACGACCAAGGACTCCCGGTGTATCAGGGCCTGATAATTATTATTATAATCAAAAAGAAGCGCTAAGCCACAAGGACTATACAGCGCTGCAGGGCAGGAAGGAAGCGAGGGCATCAGGTGGCAAAAGGGAGATGGATGAGTAATAGGTTACGGATAACAGCGGGGTAGTGGATGGTGAAAGGGTAAAGGGCAGCAAGAGACTGAACTAGAAAGGGCTGAGGGGAGTGCGAAAAGTATCATCAGAGTTTGTGGAGTAAATCAGTCGTTGTCAAGAAGTCAATGAGAGAGTCAGGATTAAAGGAGGGTCCATCAGCAAGAAGGGAAGGTAAAGAGAGAGTAGTAGAACGAAGGCGACGTTGGAGGTAAATTCTGCGTGCTTGTTGATAGAGAGGGCAGTCTAACAGAATGTGGCTAATCGATACTGGAACTTGACACTGCTCACAGAGAGGAACAGGGTGCCTCTCATGAGATACCCATGAGTAAGACGAGTGTGGCCAATGCGAAGGCGGGAGAGAGTGGTCTCCCAACCTCGGCACTGATGACAAGAAGACGGCCAGTAACCTATGCTCGGTTTAATAGAATGAAGTTTGTTACCGAGCAGAGTTGACCAACGTTGTTGCCAACTGGTGCGAAGGTGGGTAGCTATTGCAGCAAAATAGTCCAGAAATGGAACACCTCGATAGGAAATCGGTAGGTCATGTACTGCTGACCGCGCAGCAGTGTCTGCCTGTTCATTGCCCTGTACGTCGACATGACCAGGGACCCAACAAAAAACAATATCTTTATGTTTGGTAGAAATACGGCGTAGCCAAAGTTGGATACGGAGAACTAGGAGATGAGATGTATCAAATTTTCGTATAGCCTGTAGAGCACTAAGGGAGTCTGAGACTACTACAAATGATGACACAGGCATAGATGCGATACGAATAAGTGCTGCAAGAATGGCATACAGTTCAGCAGTAAAAATGCTAGCTGAAGATAGTAAATGCCCCCGCACAACGCTGTCCAGAAACACTGCTGCGAATCCGATGCCGTCTGAAGACTTAGAGCCATCTGTGTACACAGCGGTGGCATGAGAATGGGAGTGGAAGTGATCAAGAAAAGGAGAGCGGGAAGCCACCGTAGGCAGTTGAGCTTTCGAGCAAGGGAGTGAGAAAGAACAGACCCGAACAGCTGGAACTTCCCAGGGGGGTAGAGAAAAGTGAGATGCTACATGAACATATAAAGGTGGTAACTAAAGGGAAGACAAGAGTGAATGTAGGCAAAGAGAAAAGGGACGGAGCAAACAGGGGCGGCGAACGAATAAAGAATGTCTACTAATATCGGTGACCATTCTATAAATGGAAGGATTGTGTAGATCGTGAGAGCGTACTTAGTAGCGAAGGCAATGGGCATCACGGCGATCAGACAAAGATGGAACATTCGCTTCTGTATAGAGGCTCTCAACAGGGGAAGAGCGAAAAGCACCAAGGCACAAACGTAATCCTTGGTGATGGATAGAGTTAAGGCTAGAGAGAGTAGCAGGAGAGGCCGCGGAATAAATCTGGTCACCATAATCGAGTTTCGATAAAACGAGGGCTGAATGTAGGCAAAGCAGAGTTCGACGATCAGCTCCCCAGGAAAGATGAGCAAGGGTTTTAAAAAGGTTTAGCCGGCTGTGACAAGTTGCCTTCAGAGAGGTAATGTGAGGTTTCCAGGATAACCGACGGTCAAAGAGAAGGCCTAGAAACACCTGACTGTATCACGTTCGGGGATACGGGAGCCATAGAGATACAAAGGATGATCGGAGATAACAGAGCGTCTAGTGAAAGTAATTTGGTAAGTTTTGGTACTTGAAAATTTAAACCCATGCGTGGTGGCCCAAGTGGAAACACGGTCGACCGCATGCTGGAGAGAAACTGCAATAAGGTGACAGTCAGCGCCTGCACAAGCAATAGCGAAGTCATCAACATAGAGCGATGACCAAATATTGGGTGGAAGAACAGAGGCCAAATCATTTTTAGCAAGGAGAAAAAGTGTTGTGCTTAGAACACATCCCTGAGGGACACCTTCAGCTTGGACGAAGTCCGGGGAAAGAACATTATTGACTCGAACAAAGAAATGTCTGTCAGTTAAAAAGTTCTTAAGGAAGGATGGTAGATTGCCTCGGAGGCCTAAGGAATAGGCCTGGGCCAAAATATTATACCTCCAAGTTGTGTCATATGCCTTCTCAAGGTCAAAAAATATGGCAATAACTGAGTGATTATTCGCAAAGGCATTACGAACATACGTATCAAGCGTTAGTAAGGGGTCTATGGTAGAACAACCCTTACGAAAGCCATATTGACTAGCGGAGAGACTGTTGTGTGTCTCTAAATACCACATTAAACGTTGATTTACAAGACGTTCCATCACTTTGCAAACTGCACTAGTAAGAGCGATGGGGCGACAGTGGGAGGCATCATGTCCTGTAGTACCCGGTTTGCGGAATGGGAGAACAATGGCAGATTTCCACAGCTGGGGAAGAACTCCTTGTGCCCAAATAAGATTGAAGAGGTGTAAGAGGACTACAAGGGCTGACCGATGTAAATGTTGTAACATACGAATATGAATGTCGTCAGGCCCAACTGCCGATGATCGGCAAGCTGAGAGTGTTGCCTCCAGTTCTTGAAGTGTAAAAGGCACATTATACTGTTCTTCTCTGAGAGAAGAAAAGTCCAAGGGTACTAACTCTCTGGCAGACTTTGAGGAAAGAAACGAGGGGCATAGATGGAGCCCTCGGGAAATACGGACCAGATGTGTGCCAAGTTCAATGGCAACGTCGAGAGGGTTTGCTACATCAACACCAGCGACCCGTAGAACAGGAGCCGGGTCAGGAGAGTATTTACCACTCAATTTCCTCACTTTTTTCCAGACTGCACTCATAGAAGAAGCAGAGGTGATGGTGGAAACATAGTCTTGCCAAAAAGTGCGTTTAGCTTCACGGATGACACGGCGAGCGATCGCACGCTTCTGCTTAAAATCAAGAAGTCTCTCAGCGGTTCTACTGTACCGGTACCTGCCCCATGCAGCACGTTTCAAACGTACTGCACGAGCACAAGCAGGAGACCACCAAGGCACACACTTCTGAGAATGCCTGCCTGAGGTTTGGGGTATAGAATGAGAAGCTGCGGTATAAACTGACGTCAAGAAGATGTGTAGGAGCTCATGAATGGAGGATGAAGAAGGAACCTCACTAAAAGCAGTGATGTGTGAGTAAAGATCCCAAATTGCCAGCGAGGGCTACGGAAAGGTGGTGAATAGGAAGGAGAAGTAAGAATAATCGGAAAATGATCGCTGTCATGTAAGTCTGGTAGAACAGACCAGGTGAAGTCTAGTGCAGTGGAGGAAGAGCAGACTGATAGATCGATGCAAGAGAGAGTATGAGTACAAGGATCAAAATGGGTGGGAGTACCCGTATTTAAAACATGGAGGGGGTGAGAGGCGAGAAAAGCCTCCAACTGGATGCCACGTGAGTCACAATGAGGCATTAAAATCACCAAGTAACAGAAGTGGTGGCGGTAAGGATGAAACAAGAAAGGCAAAGTCTGGGATAGAAAATGCCCGAGAAGGAGAGAGATATAAAGAACATATTGTAAACCACTTATTCAAGTGGATACGGGCTGCAGTGTAATGCAGCGAGGTATGGACAAATAGTTGACAGTACGGAATATCATTGCGTATAAGAAGGGCACTTTCATTAAAGGTCCCATCTGAGAAAGGATCCGAAGAATACAATAAATTATAGCCTGAGATAGGTTGGAAAACAGCAGAGTGTAATTTTGGTTCTTGTAAGCAAGCACCAACAGGGGAAAACCTGGAAAGCAACATCTGAAGCTCACCCCGATTACCCCTGAGGCCGCGGATATTCCACTGTAAATAGGCCATGATTGGCGATGAAGAAAATACCAGGAATCTGTAGGTAAAGGCACCTACGGACTAGAGGGGTTAGAAAAGTCAACGTGTGGTGGCATTGGAAGACGTTCAAGTAGCGAAGGAACGGAGCGTTGCGAAGAATGGGGTTGTGAAGATGGAGGAGAGGGAAGAGAAGAAACAGGAAGTGAATTAGTGTCCATGGAAGGTTTAGTCTCTGCAATATATTCTGAAATGGCTTCAAGTGTTTCTGAATTCAAAGATGTATGGGAGACCATATTGGAGATAGAAGGAGGAGGGTTGAATAAAGATTGGGACAGTAATGGACTGTACCAAAGTGAGGGAGGGGAGGGAAGAGTGTAAGGGACTGGAGATGAAGTGTGGGGGGGGACAGAAGAGGCAGAAACCTGGGAGGTGGCAGAAGAGGGAGAAACTTGGGAGGGGACGGGGGTGGAAGGCATAGTACGAGGAGGAGGGTGAATCTCCACACTTGTAATAGAGCCAGAGAGAGGGGAAGAACTAGGTAGAGAGACTGGAAAGGTAAAGTGTGGAGGTGGAAGAAGGGAAGGAAGGGGCAAAGAAGATTTGAGCAATGTGGATTTTTTGGACTTCTGAGTAGAGGGGCGATTGGTATTACGTGTTGTACGAGGTCTTGTCGATACTGGGGCTTGTGAGGAAGGACGCGAAGATGTGAGAACAGACTGAGTTGTAGTCGGGACGTCAAAAGGACAGCAAAAGGATTAGATGCCGTAGTGGCTATGGGAGGGGTAATAACAGAGGAGGCTGCAGAAGATGAGACCCCAGAAGTGGGGGGATGTTTGAAAACACGAGAATAAGAAACACGGGGTAGTCTCCCTTGGAGGCGGAGATGAGTAACTGCCATAGCATAAGGGAGACCTTCTGCCTCTTTGAGGCAACGGATTTCAGGTTCATTTAAGTAGACCTGGCAACGGCGGGAGTACGAAGGGTGAGCTTCATTACAATTAAGGCAAGATGGAAGTTGACTGCAAGATGTATTAGAATGGTCGTCGGCACCACAGACTGGGCATTCGGCCATAGATCTGCAATATTTCGCTGGGTGACCAAAACGCCAGCAATTTCTACATTGTTGCGGTGTAGGTATCACCTTTCGAACTTGTAACCGATGTCCCGCGACATATACAGAGGACGGGAGTTCTCGGCTGTCAAAAGTTAAACGAGCCACATTGCAAGGGTAATGTCTCCGCCCCCGGGCAGGAAGGACATAAGTGTCTACTTTGAGGATTGGGAGATCCTGGAGTTCCAGCTGTTCAAAAATGTCATTGCCACATGACTGGAAATTCTGTTGGACTATGGTATGGTGGGAGACGGCCGACTTGTTGAAAAAAAAAAAAACTTCCTTTTTTTATCATATTTAAATATTCTCAGGTGTGTTGATACTTGCATTTTCTCTCATATAGCCACATCCCTTTAGCATAATAAATGTCTCATTAGTTGCCCTTGTGCCCTTCTACCTAACAAGGTGCAGCATAAAAGCAAAGTCACCAGACTGTAAAACATGAGACTTCACCTGATGTTGCCAGTCCTCCTGAGTAGCTCCTTCCATAAGAAGCAGAGACCCTGGGAAAAGGGGAAAACGCAGAAATCCTCGTCCATCCTTTCTTCGCATTTCAAACAATCTAGATGACCCTGACCAAACAATTTTAAAGTAAATTTAATGCAGTGTTAACATTTCTGCTATGAAAAAGTATTAGTTATATCAGTCTGTTGTCAACTTCTTGATATACTAAATACAATAACCTTGAAGGTGTCCTACTAAATTAAGAAAGTTCCTTAAAATTTATTTATCTGCTTGTAACTTCAAATCATTTACATATTTTTAAGGCTAGATGCAGCAAGTACAGTATTACCAAGTGATACAGATGCAATGGAGGGATTATCACGTAAAGCAGGGTGGCGCTCCTCCATCCAAGCTACGTGGTCATATCCATTACGATGGAGATTAAGGATGCAGCTGTTGTATTGATTACCAGTATATCGAATTAGCCTAGGGATAAAATAAAATTAGAAAATATAAATAACATTAAAATTGTAAAATGCACTTGTTTCTAAACTGATGTCATTAGAAACAGGGCCTTCTCACTCTTCTACTGACAGGCTTCAGCTTCAATTACCATACTACCAAAATTATTAGTGTGCCCTTGAATGGTTAATGGGAAACACATGACACATGAAATATGTGTATAGAGGTAAACCCTGTCTGCTCCATCTTCATTTCTTAAATTTTAGTAATGAGAATATTTACAATTAAATTGCATACCATTAGGTTAATTAACTTTAATCAAACTAAGCAAAATAACTAATATGAAACAAAGATCAGGAATGTGCAATGAAGTAAAATGTTCAAAAATAGATGAACAATGTCAAATGAGGGCGGACTGGGCCAGCATACAAGTCTAGTGTAGAGAAGTAAGGCAAAAAAGAAATGATAGAAAAGTAACTAGCATCCTGGATAAATGTGGGAATTACCAGTATCTTGGGACAAAAAGCTGCAAAAAGGCATGAAAAAATAGAACAGACTACAAAATAATGAAGAGAAAGGCCATTCAACCTTTTTTTCATTATACTTGCAATCAAGAAATAGAACTATGCACAAACAGAAATATAGACATATACCTATGTAGAAGATCAACAATCTCAGGCAACCAGTTTGTATTCTTCTCCAAAACAACACCTGAATAAGAGTAGTCACATGGGCCAATCCAGGACAGCAAGTGAGGGAGATTTTGCCACTGCCCATCAGTAATCGCTCGTCTCTGGTGCCACTTAAGTCCTTTCCTCAGAATGCGGAAAATTGTCTGTGTATACAATGATTTGTAAACATATCAAAAATATTACACAGTAACAGTAAGCAATTATGAACAAGTGAAAAAAAAATATTTTCATTAGCTTGATGGCCATACAAGAAAGGACACTATGAAAAAATAAGTGAAGGAGACAGTTAACTCAGATTAAGATAACTGAAAAGCCTGATATTTTAATTGAGCTCAGCTCACTCAGATATGCAGTAAATTTTGGCCTAGATATGAGAGAATAGATCTATGTGGTGAGTGTGCACCTCACAGTGGACCCTTGAATTTCATCCCCCTTGAATATCATGAATTTTGGAAATCGGCGACTTTTTTCATCAAAATATTGGCTTGATTTTCGTGATTTGGCTTAGAAATCGGAGGTCATATGAAACGCCTCCTGGTAATGGACATTGCTCCTGCTCATCCTCCAGACTTGGAAGAGCAAATGGTGAGGGAGTTTAATTTCATCACAGTGAAGTTCTTGCCCCCTAATACCATCATTATTCTCCTCCAGCCCATGGACCAGCAGATCATTTCAAACTTCAAAAAACTACACCAAAGCAATGTTTCAAAGGTGCTTTAACATAACCTTGGACTCTGAATTGACCCTAAGAGAGTTCTGGAAAGATCACTTCAATATCCTCCAAGCCTTACCTTATAGGTAAGACTCAGGAAATTGCTTCAGAGGAGGAGGAAGATTGAGGGAAGAAGTTGCTGTCTTCAGAGATTAAGGAGATGTGTGCAATATGGACTAGGATGGAAAGATTTGTGGAGGAACATCACCCTGACAAAGCTGTTGCAGGCCGTATATGCGACATGTTCAATGACGATGTCTTTTCTCATTTTAGGGAAATTTTAAAGAACAATTTTTTTGAGCGACAGGGGTCCTGTGACTCTCAAACTGGTCCTAGTGGCATTAAAAAAAAGAAGGAAAGTAACCCCAGAAAAGAACTTGGTATCTGAAGTCTTTATGGAAGGGGATTCTCCTTCCAAACAATAGTAACTCTTCCATCCTCTCCCCTCCTCCCGTCTTCCACACATCAACAACTCTTCAATAAACGTAAGTGTCAAGTTATTATTGTTTTATTCTTCATGTCTCATTGTTTTCTGTGTAGACAAATGCATATTTAATGTAAAAAAAAAATATTTTTTTAATACTTTTGGGTGTCTGGAACAGATTAATTTGATTTACATTATTTCTTATGGGGAAAAATGGTTTTGAAAATCGTGAATCTTGAATTTCGGCAGACTCTCTGGAACAGATTAATCATAAAATTCAAGGGTCCACTGTATAAAAAATTCCTGCTCCAAGCAGTGCATGATGGGAAAAACAAAACTGCGACTGTGTATGGTGTATGGTTTAAAATAGCAACTTAGCAGTGTATTTTCAGGTTTTTATGGTTTTATTCTCAGCTTCTTGGTGTCATTTGATGGAATGGAACATATATTACAGAAAGAATATGATTTTGATTGGTTTCAGGACTAGAAGTAGCATGAAATTGAGCTCAAATTAGTGGAAATATTAAATTTTTGTCAATATTTCAGAGGACACTAATCATGTCACTCATAAATAACAAAAAAAAGGCACAATACCAACTGGCCATCTAATACACGTTCACGAATGTGCTGACATCATTTATATAATTATTACAATAATGCATAACAGTAAATCTCCTGTTTTTTGCATGAATAAAAATTCAAAATGGAAAACTTATGGAATTACCCAGGCAAGAAATTGTAGGTTGGGGAGCACTTTACAAAACTGCACTGCTACCCATTTTAAGGCCTAATTTAGGCCAATTCCATTGCTCAAATTTACCCAAATCCTGATTATTACAGTACTATGCCTTCTATTCTATCAACTGAGAGCAAGAAAATGCCCACCCCTTCAACTATCAGAGCTACTCTACAAAGCACTCGGAATTCGGTAAGTTGGCCAACTTTCCACAAAATTCAATATATTCCAAGTTAAAAGTGTTCACAAAAAACACTGAAGGTATTCCAACCACTAAAGCAACCTTTTCCTTGTTTATTAATCATGCCCCCAGGCCTCTCCTATATAATCTTTGCCCTTCTTTTGAATCCATCACACAAATATTTTGGAGTGTTGCCTTATTTCTCAGCTAATAAAATATAATCAAGAATAATTGGCAATGGTTAAGGCCATTCCAATAACTGAAGCAGCTGTAGTAAAATGCCATATAAGAGACCTAGAGAAGGGGATGGGGAACCTACCTGTCCTGAGGAAAACTGCCAAAAAGCTAATATTTCTACCACTCTGAGGCTTATTTCAGACCACTTTTCATCTGAAACCTGACCAAAATCACCTTCATTTCACTAATACATCTTCTGGTCTATCAACTGGCATGAAGAAACAGCCAACAAAGCCATGAAAACCATCCTCTTCCCATCATGCACTGCACAGGGCAATATTTTTTTTTATACTGTACACACCCACAACACAGACCCCTTCTTTCATGTCTAGGCCAAAATTTACTGCTCTCAGTATACCTGAGAGAGCTATGATTGAGACATATATAAGAACCACTGACCTCAGAAACAAATGTAATATATACTGTAATCTTTCAATATAATGAACTTAAAATTTTAGGGAAAAATCCATTGTTTAAATTGTACTTTTAACTCCTTTTTTTTCAATGTTTATTGCAGTAGATCTGGAAACTGTAAATAAAGTACTGCATTAGATATACAGTATAGTGCAGTACTTTGGTACACTTTCTTGCTGTTTTTCTAGAACACTGTGAAGGGGTTAACAATCAGGTATTGAAAATTGAACACTATAACAGAGCAGAATACAACAGATATCTTTACCTTCTCTCCCTTCTGGGTCATGAAGTTTGGCCAGTAGCGAATAAGGGAGATGCCCCTCTCAGTGTCACTAAGACACAACTCTCCACCATCTTGTATCAGCCAGTCAGGGACATTAGCACACAATCTCTCTGCTTCTTTGGCATCTAACTATATAAAGAAAAAAATGTACTTTGTGTAAAGAGCAGTAATGGGACAATATAAAATTTTTTGCTTATATCAATACCAACACTCAATTTTAGGGCAATACTCAATTTCAGGCCAATACCGATATTATCAAAACTGGCAGATATCCACAGATACCGATACTCAATTTAGGCCAATACTAATACTGATGCCATCAAAATTTCTCCAGATTCACCAATTCTTAGGCACACCTTAATGAAGGCTTTAACTCCTTGACTGTCACAACCTCCAATCCTGAGGTGTCTCCTGGTGTCGCAAAATTTAAAAAAAAAAAATTATTTTTTCTTATGAAATGATAGAGAATCTTTTCCCGATTGTAATGACACCAAAAAAAACGAAATTTGATGGAAAACTGACGGAATTATGCTCTCGCGAAGTTAGCGACCTTGGCGATATTTACAAATCGGCGATTTCGCCCACTTTGAGCCCTATTTTCGGCTAATTCTGTTGTTCCAGTCGACCAAACTCATAGCTATTTCTTTAGAACTCCATTTTTTCTATCGATTGAGTACAAGAAACTGCCCATTTACCGATTTCAACTACCCAATAATGTGGTCAGAAATTTGCAATTTGGCCAATTTCACGAAAATTAAAAAATATGACAATTTCAAAATAAGGTCCAGAACGAACAATGCAGACATTCCTGGATCTAAAATAACATTTTCTTTGTTCATCAGTCATGTCTCCAGGCCCCTCTGATATTACTCTTGCTTTCTATTTTGAATTTTTATTCAAACAAAAAATAGAAGACTTACTATTATGTAGACTACTGCAATACTGTAATAATTGTATATATAACATCAACCCATTCATGACTGCATGTTAGAATGGCTAGTTGGACATTTATTGGACAATGACATCATTTGTTAACTTTTGAACATTGGCAAAAATCAAACATTTCCCCTACTTTGAGCTCTATTTCCAGGTTCTTTTTATAGTAAAATCAATCCCTACTTTGAGCTCCATTTCCAGGTTCTTTTTATAGTAAAATCAATCAAAATTACCTCTATTTCTATAATATGTTTTCCATTCTATCAAATGAGACCAAGAAAATGAGAATACAACCATAAATACTATACGAAAATAGACCACAAAGTCGGCATTTTAATTACAAAAAAAACGGTCGGAGTTTTTTTTTCTCGTTATGCATTGCGTGCTCCAGGATTTTTTTTATACGGTGCACACTGACCACACAGACCCATTCTCTCACATGTGGGCCTACCAGCTTTCTCCTGCTTGATTTGAAGCCGCTAGAATTTATGAGCATAGTATATACGTCAAACACGGTACCTCGTAAGATGTATATATACGGCCGCGACAGTCAAAGGGTTAAATAATATACAAGGTGCTATCAAAAAGTATCCAAACTCAAATTTTCACATAGTTCCTGTGTGAAATATGGTGGTAGTGTATATCATGCTGCACAGTACACTGCTTTGTGCAGTAGTGTGGTGAGTTTCAGTGCAATCGGTCATTCCACCGAAGTTAGATGGGCATTTTTTCTCATGTTGTCAGAGAGTTATTGTGATTTTTCATGTAACAGAATGGCCTCTTTAAAAGAAAGAATAGCATGTGGTTGTGTGGAATTCTCTTTCAAGTTCTGTAAAACAGCTAGTGAAACTCATAAAATGCTTCAGCAAGGATTTGGTGATGACGCAAAGGGTTGGATACCATGTGATGAATGGTTTTATTGAGTCAAAACATGATGAATGTCAGTTGAGGATAATGAAAGCTCTGGTTGTCCATCAATATCAAAAACAGACATCAGCACTTGAAAAGTGAGGAAGGCTATTCAAAAAGAACATTGTCAGAGTATTCAGGACACTGCAAGTGCTGTGGAATTTTCTTATGGAGCATTTTAACTGAAAATTTAAACATGAGGCAAATGGCTGTGAAATTTGTGCCCTGCTTACTGACTCAAGACCAGAAAGACCATTGTTTTCTGGCCAAAAACAACATGAACATGGCAGTCATCCCCCATCCTTTCTACTCCCAAGATGTAGCCCCCTGTGACTTCTTTCTCTTCCCAAAAATGAAAATGGCACTCAAGGGGCAGTGTTTTAATGACATGGAGGAAATTCAAGCAGAATCACAGGCAATGCTAGATGTCGTTAAGAAAGAGCTCCAGAAATGTTACAAGAAGTGGCAGAGGTGATGGGTTCAGTACATATCCTCCTAAGGAGAGTACTTCAAGGTAGACAACTTCAACTAGATGATTCAGTCAGCATATACGTACATATTTTTGCAGTTTGGGAACTTTCTGATAGCACCTTATAATGTACGTATATGTACAGAAATCTTCTTTCAACAAACTAGCCATATCCCACCGAGGCAGGGTGGTCCAAAAAGAAAAGTGAAAGTTTCTCTTTTAAAATTTAGTAATTTATAAAGGAGAAGAGGTTACTAGCCCCTTGCTCCTGGCATTTTAGTTGCCTCTTATGACACGCATGGCTTATGAAGGAAGAATTCTCCTCCACTTTCCCATGGAGAAAAGTAAATATACAATATTACAAATATGTAGTATTGTGTATCTGTATTAATCATGGTTTCTAAATTTGTGGGACTGCTATAAATTTAACCTCCCTGTGAATCTGAGGTTTTGGCTGTATTAAGACGTGTGTATATTGAAGTCAGTGCAAGTCTACTTATTTGTCGATCCAGTGCACAGATGAAGATCATCTGATAAGTAAAAAATTAGTTTACAAATTGGGTAGCTACAGTATGCAAATTTAATAGGAAACTTCATTATAAGTGCATGAATAGTTCGAGGAAGCTGACTGGATGGACTTTAGGAGTACAGTGTCTGCATTCTGAAAGACGGGTGGGGATATATGCAGTTTGGAGGGGCATCCGAACTGTAGTGTTAGTGCAAGTCGGGCAAGACAGTGATGGAGTGAATGACAGTCAAAGTGTTTCTCACTCTACCTCGGTGGGAGATGGCCAGCATGTTAAGGAAAAAAAATGAGAGGAGTCCACAAAGCCTGGAGACAGAGAACCCAATAATGGCCAGTTAACCCTTTCACTGTTAAGACCCCCAAAATTAATATTACTCCCAGTGTCCACTTTAAAAAAAAATTCTTCTGAAATAGTAGAGAATCTTTTCTGAAGGTAACGGCATCCTAAATATGAAATTTGATGGAAATGTTACAGAATTAGGCAGGTGCAAAATAAGCAGTCTCTGCACAATTCATGCATCAACAATTTTTCCAACTTTGAGTTCTATTTTAAGTCAATTCCATTGTTCTTTTCAACCAAATTCTTAGCTATTTCACTAGTATGCCTTAAGTTCTATTGATTGAGCACAAGAAGCTGCCCATATGAATATTACAATTACTCTATAAAATGCACAGAAGTCAGTAATTTGGCCAGTATTACACAAAATAAAAAAAATACAAATTTAAAAATAGAATGCAAAATAAACACTGTAGACATTCCTGGCACTAAAACAACATTTCCTCGGTTCATTAACCATGTCCCCAGGACTTTGTTATATTATAACTGCCTTCCATTTGGAATTCATAATCATACAAAAGTAGATGATTTACTCTATTTCTCAGATAATAAAATATAACCAGGAATGGAGTCATGGTTTATGGCATCCCAATAATTGAATCAGACATATTAAAAACCTATAAAACAGACTGGGGTGAGTTGAGGAGGGCCTTACCCATCCTCAGGAAACTGCAAAAATTTAATATTTCAGCTACTTTGAGCTAAATTTCATTGTACCTCTTGTACTGAGGCCAACCAAAATCATATCTTCCATTCTATCAAAAGATACAAAGGAACATCCAATAAGACCATAACAACCATCCTAGAAAACAATTCAAATTCACTATGTGAAATGAAACTGGGTTTTGTTGTTCCCATCATGCACTGCTAGGGGCAGGATATTTTTTTTTTTTACTGTGCACTCTCACTGCACAGACCCATTCTCTCATATCTAAGCTAAAATTTCCAGCTCACAGCTTATCTGAGGGAGTTGTGCTCGTGACATAGGACTACATGAGGGCCCCTGGCCTCAATGATGTAGTTCTACATGATGGCCACTAAAGGGGTTAAGAGGCAAGGCTAGGAGCCAAGACATGATCCCTGCAACCACAAATAGGTAAGTACATTAGCAACTACCAGTATTTACTAAACCTTAGAAGAAAACTAACCTCTTTTGGAAGAGGAAGGTCAAAACTGTTGGCATCACGAAGAGAATATCTATTTGACTCATTAAACCTGGAGAGCTCTGGACTATCCCTGCAAAGAGGTAGGTCATGCCTCTCATCATGGTTCTTTCTGAGATGCTCATCATCTTTTTGTGTATACTGAGAATACGACTGAATGTTGGTACTGTAGGACCCATAATCAGCTCTGTGAGTTGGTGGAGCACTAGGACCAGGAGAAGCTGTATAATTGGTATCATACTCAGGTCGGTACTGTTGGCCAAGATCAAAATTATCCATGCAGTGCATCTTGTAGGGTGGCTCACCTTTTACACTGAAATATAAAATTATCATTAAATCCATACTGTTCATTTCTTTGTTTTAGTCACTATCTTTACACCCTAGAAACTAGAAACAGTTAAAACTTCTACAGCTGTATTTTCCTGTTTGTCAGATCCTCTAGTTAGTTTTGAAATCAACCCTTGCTCTGGTCAGACCCCAGAAATTATTATAGCTTTCAGTGTCCACTTTAGAAAAAAAGTTTCTTCTGAAATGATGATCTTTTACTGAAGGTAATGATGCCAAAATTTGATGGAAAGCTTATGGAATTACACACGCACAAAGTCAGTTTTCTGGGCACAGTTTACTCATAGGTGATTTCACCTACTTTGAATCCAATTCCATTGCACCATTCAACCACTCTCTCATATCTCATATCTACTTTGCTAGTATACTTTCCATTCTATCAACTGAGCGCAAGAAACACCTATTATAATTACATATATAATGTACAGAAAATGATAATTTGACCAATTTTACACAAAATTAAAAGAATGCCAATATAAAAACAAGAATCCAAAATAAACAACGCAGACATTCCACACACTGAAACAACATTTCTTCTGTTTATTAATCATGTCCCCAGGACTCTCCTATATTATACTTACCTACCCCACCTTCCCTCCACTACAAATTTATACACCCTCCAAGTCATCTTATTTTGTTCCATCCTCTCTAAATGTTCAAACTACCCCAACAACCCCTTCTCAGACCTCTGGATAATACTTTTAGTAACCCTGCACCTCCTCCTAATCTCCAAACTACGAATTCTCTACATAACAATCACACCACACATTACCTTCAGACATGACATCTCTACTGCCTCCAGCCTCCTCATTGCTGCAACATTCACATCCTATGCTTCACACCCATATAAGAGCATTGGTACCACTATACTCTCATGCATTCCCCTTTATGCCTCCATGGACAATTTATTATTATTTTTGTTATTGTTATCTACCTCTTTTGTTTGCTTGTTTGTTTGTGTGAGCGTGTTAAACTTATTTGAGTTGACAGACACCAAGCTAAAACAAATATAAAACAGAGGAGAGGAAAAAGATAAACAAATGCATTTATAATGAGCTTGATTCATAAAAATCCCTGTATATGGCTTCAGTATCATACAACATTATATGTGCTAAAACTCTGAATTGCATTATCTATATACCAAATCAGAAGTATATTTATCTTAAATGAGGGATATTATAAATGAAAAGAAACCACTTTCAAAAAAATGCACATAAACAAAGAATTTTCTAAACCTCATTTTTTAATTATGTATACATACCTGTAATCATCTAGGTGCCTCCGTTTGCCAAAATGGGTAGGACTGTCAAAGCGTCGATGCTGAGAGTCCACTGAGTACAGGCGGCTATCTCCAGGGGGCAGTGCATCCATTTGATTAGGAGGTGGTCCAAAACCTGGGGGAAACAACCCAGGAGGTCCTAAACCCAAAGATGGTGGGGGCCTGAAATGCAAAAAACAGTTCTGATGTGGGGGTCAACAAGGGTATGATTCAGAGGGCTGAAGAGGGGTTGTCGACATGGTTTGGACATGTAGAAAGGATGAAGAGGTATAGGTTGGTAAAAAGGGTGTATAAATCTGAGGTGGAGAGTAGGAGTCATCGCAGGAATGGCTGAAGGGAAGGGGGTGTAAAAGGCTTTGAGTTTTTGGGGTTTGAGCATCCAGCAGGCTTGTGTGAGCATATTATATAGAAGTGAATGTAGACAAGTGTTTTTTTAATGGATGTGCTGTTGAAGTGTGGGCAAGGTGAAGTGTGTGCAAGGTGGGAAGGCCAGTGCTTGCATTCTAAAGGAGGGGTGGGAACGGCCGACTTGTTGAAAAAAAAAAAACAAAAAAAAAGAAGTAGCAAGACATACCTGAAATCTTGCATCTTTATGAGACAGAAAAAAGGACACCAGCAATCCTACCACTGTGTAAAACAATTACAGGCTTCCGTTTTACACTCACTTGGCAGGACAGTAGTACCTCCCTGGGCGGTTGCTGTCTACCAACCTACTACCTAGGATTTATATTTATATTTTATTAAAAAACATCCATTCTTATGATAGGAAACATTACATGACGTTTCAGTTCATTCTGGACCATTACATTCATAAAAGTTATGCAGCTTGATGATGGTTGAGGATAGTTTGAAACACTGTCTAGTTTCTTCTCAAAAAGTGTGGGTTATTTGTGCACAGTGAAATTGTGTTATTCACTGCAATGGTTTACACAGAATTTTACTATTCATTATGTATTCCAAAAGAATATTCCAGGACTAGACTATTATTTATGGATTTTCATGGGTCTCATCCACAGGTAAGGTAGTCAGTACACTAGACAAAATGTAAACATAAAGAAAGCTCAGTTCAATTACATTTAATGTACAAGCATTAAATATAATGATACAGTAAAAGCTTCAAGGATTGTACCTGGTAAATTTATGTGGTGGTAAACATGAAGTCATTGTTGTAGGTGTGGTAGCAGAGATTGGTGGAAGTCCTCCTGCTGCTGATGGGGGTGGCTGACTCATGTCTGGTAGATGAGCAGGATCTTGATCTCCAGCTCGCCTACGCAAGTGCTCTATATTGATGGGGAATGGAATTTTTACCTCTTCAATCTGTTTAAAAACAAAAGTCAAAACTGATATACTGCCACAGAATCCTTATTCACTAACACACTGAATTGTTAAGAATAATGATTTATAGAAAACTGAAACCAATGTGTATGAACAACACAAAATGCAGTGGCTTTCTTTGTGCTTATCAGTATTTTATTACATGTAAACTACACTTTGCATACTACACAAAGAAATAAATTTTGCTTGTTTGTTTGTCTAGACAGTGCTACAGAATACTGTAATTGCCAAAATTAGATTGGAATATATTACTTTTGGCAAGTACAAGTGTCCAGCATTTTATGTAACAGATGCACTGCCATTCCCTGGTGCATAAAGTGAATTCACATAATGCAAAACCATTATAAGTGAGAACAAATAAAATCCAAAATTCAGTCATAATCCCTACACAATTAACCAAGCCAGAATCAAGGAAACAATCCACATTTCATTTTTACCAAAAGAGTTATAAGCATACTACATGGCCATATTCCAAAAATAAATAAATTTGATCCATAAACAACTGCAAAAATCTAAAATTCAATCATACTCCCCATATAATAAATGGTCATAATGGAAGAAAGGAGGGGGGGATTAATACCACATTCCTTGACTTGGTTTTAATAAAATATAAGCATACCACACAGGCACCAAATGGCTATAACATGTACCAAAAATAAAACAATCTGGTCAACAAACAACTTAGAAAAACATGAATTCCAAAGTTTTATTATGATTCACTTCTCTTTTACCCTCCCTTATCTCTCAAACAACCAGTCTGTCTTTGGGTTGAAGTGCATATGTTATGAACCTGTGAATAATTGTTTCCCTGCATTTCTTTCCCTCTCTCCACCCATAGTTCTGTCTTCATATCAGAGCCAGCTATTTGCTCATTTTAATGTACGTACCTCACAAGATAAATGAATCACTAACTCAAAAACTAATTTACCTCCTTATCCTTTAGGTGCTGAGGATAGCCACTAGCAAGAAGATCATTGTACTGATGGTATCCATCTTCCTGGTGCCACCGGTGCTCTTCTGACTTCCCATATCTGCAATGCACATTAGATGAACCAAAATCTTCTCACACTAGCAAAAAATAATTCATGGAAGTTTGCCACAAAAAAAAAAAAAATTTATGTTATTACACCCCTATATTTTTTATTCTATTCAACTCTCGAAAACTTCAGTGAAACTTTTGTTGCCCTATACAAATGATGAGTTGTCTGTAAGTTTGGTCCAAGTCTTTTTTTATATTTTAATTTTCTTCCTTTTATGTATGTTGTTACTTGTACAGAGCCTAAACAATTATGCACAAATTTCACTTCAGAACTGTGACTTATTACTTGATGAGTTTTTAGCCTTACTCTTATTCTTTTAGATATCAATGACATTTTGTACACACTGATGAAATGCCCACGATAGCCAGAAAAGCTAGAAAAATCATAGTTTCTAACAAAGTGTTTGTCTCTGCTTGCCTCCCTACACACCTCAAACTTACCATTTTCACTTATAACTCTCGTTACAAACATGTAAAAGGACACAAATCCTACCACACACTATAGTTAAATGTACGTGTCCATATGCGCTTAAAAAGATGTGCGTATACATACATATGTGCTTATGATATAACAAAATTTGAGCTCAACCCAGTAAAACACTTATCCAAGAGGGCAATCCCAGATGATCTAAGCTACATCAATCACCAGCTTACAGCTATATTAAGCCTGGAAAAAATGATAGCAGGTCACATTTTCTCCTGAGAAAGTACAAATGATGATGTCCTTTAGGCACAATGCCGGTAATGCTGGAGCAATGGTAAGAATGAATGGTAGTGTGTTGGTAACTGGGGATGAAGTTGATATCCTTGGGGTGAAATCTGACTCCAAACTGACTCTGAAGAACCATGTTGTAAATCTTGCAAACAAAGTAGCCAGAAAGCTTACAGCTCTTAAATGTATCTCTCATCTGCTTGACAGCAGAGATTGCAAGATTCTGTAAGAGGCACAAGTACACTCACATCTTGAGTATGCTCCACTTTCTTGGACTGCCTGCCCCCTTGTCTCATCTGCTACTTCCTGACAGAATAGATAACAGATCAAGGCAACTCGTCTCTCACCTAAACCCAGCCTGTATGGATCTGCCATTTCAGCAGAGATTTCAACACAAAGAGGGATGTGGATGGTCTTACTCTTATATACAAGGACACTATTGTCAGAATACCACACTTGGTTCCACTCTGAAGACAGCTAGAATTGAGCTTCTGCACAAAAAGATGGGTAGCAAACAGCAACTACACTCTGACTGTACCCTTCTCCAGAACACTGCTTCATCTGAGATCATTTATTCCCAGGATGACTCATGTTTGGAACATGTTCATACAGCATAGTGACATCAATGAAATAAAATCAATTGACCAAATGAAATTGCTGACCCACAGATGGCTCCAACTTCATCCTGTTCCCTATCTGCACATCTCTTAACAGTAAAAAGGATTTCAAATGAGCTGATGTAAGTAGCAGCAACCACGAATAGGTGAATACACAAACACATACACACAAGTATTATTTGTCTCCAGGAATGTATCAAGTTTACAAAAGCAGGGTTTCAATGCTCTTCCTTTTCATGTTCATTATGTAATGATTCTGTCAAGACACACAAACATAATATCTTGTCACCATACCCATAGGAGCCAGTTTGAATTTCAAATTCCCAGGTTGGTGGGACCTTATGGTACTCTTCTCGAGGCTTTTGTTGTTGTGTGTCCTGTGTGCCACCTTGGACTATCTCCTGAGCTGTTGGCAGGGCTTGATTTGGATCTGAGTGACCATATCCATACCCTGCCATCGGGTTGTATGTAATAGCTCCTGCAGAAAACAACATACAAAATCATAAGTTCACTTACAAATTTGCAGTATCACAGTCATTATTCAATTACTGGAAAAAAATTCTCTGTGATCTCAGACATTTAAAGTTAAATCAATAAAATAATAATTCAGTATTTGCAGGTACTGAGCTATAGCTCCTGGGCTCTGCTTTAAAAAGACTAATTGACTGGTTTGATATCTCCTAAGTCCTATGAACATGTGCATATACAGTGGACCCCCGGTTTACGACATTATTTCATTCCAGAAGTATGTTCAGGTGCCAGTACTGACCGAATTTGTTCCCATAAGGAATATTGTGAATTAGATGAGTCCATTTCAGACCCCCAAACATGCACATACAAATGCACTTACATAAATACACTTACATAATTGGTCGCATTGGGAGCTGATCGTAAACCGGGGGTCCACTGAATTTAACTCTTGCTTGGAGTTTACCACCTACAATAAGTCTTTTTTCAAAACATTCTACCTGAATATCACCTTCATGTTGAAGTTCCTTCATTTATGGTTATAGGGCTCATTCTGGCTTTTAGCTTCCATCTTTCTCCCTCACATTGGTTCCACTCCCATCAAACAGTATTCACTAGGTACTGGCTTGTGCATGCAGAATGTACTTGTAATTACCTATCTGTAGCTAGTAAAGCTATGTTTGTGCCATTGTCTCCTTGAACTGAATAAACGTGATGTTGAACTGAACTGTGATAACCATGCACTTCTGGAAAAATAGCTATTGAATGAGTGATGGCAACTGTGTTTCCTTCTCTGGATTACCATACCTTGGTGCAGAATGGCCAAGGTAAAAGAAAATTTTCTTCTCTAATATAATTCTCAGCATTTCTACAATGCACAAAGCTCTCAAATGATCAAATAATGTTAAAAGCAGACATCTAAATACAGTATATTAATGGAGCAAGTTCTTGTCTTTATGATGTTTAAATAAGAGCATGCACAACATTACCATTATTAACCTCACTATAATAATTACTAAACCAGTTATTAAAATGAGACAAATTCAGCTGCTGCTTTCAACAATATTGCTGTATTTTATTTTATCTTCCCTGATTAGTTTCACAAGGAAGAGAATACTGAGGAGACATGGTAGAAGACAAAATATATGCAAGATTCTTTCCTGGAGAACATACCATCAGCAGCAAAATAAGGCACAGGAAATTGCTGGTTTAGCTGAGGATCAGAAAAATTAACAGGAATAGGAAGTGCATCAGTTGTATCATCTTTTGGTTCTGATGATTCTGCTGTTGATGCCACAACAGTCTCTTTATCTTCACCACATTTACTATCTGAAAATAAAAAAGAAGTGTCAATATAATAGAGGATTTATATTCACTACAAAGCTCAATATATGCAGAGTATTTATATTCACTGCACACTGCATATGTGTCTATCCTAGCCTATCCCACACTATCCTAGGCTATCCCACATTATCCTAGGCTATCCCAGCTTATCCTAGCCTGTCATCGAGTCAATAAAGCAACCAAAATTGCATGCACTCATTGGTGCATTCAACACTAATAAATACATATCAACACACTATATATATTCATTAAGAGGTAAACCAGTGTGGATCATTTATATCATATCAACAGGATTGAAATCTTGGAGGCCAAACGTTATGTAAGAACATGAAAAAGAAGGAGCATTGCAGCAGGCCTACTGGCCCAGGCTAAGCAAATCCAAGTCGGTGTCACCTGCTTTGCTCAGAGGCCTCAACCAAGCCTAAAAAAGTTTTCGATAGTAAACAGTAATCTAAGCTCCTGTATATGACCCAATAATGAATCATGTAAACTAATTTGTCTAAAATAATGAATAAATAACAAAAATAATCGTAAAAATTTGTTGGTGCTTAGCAGCGGAAGGCTAAGGTAAACAGGCGATGGAATCAGATGAACTATGATAGTATCAGTAGGCTAATTCACCTGTTTACCATCAAACCATACATCAAATTGTAGCAAGATGTGGAAAAATATGGCAGTAAGATACGTTAAGAAACGGTAGTAAGACACAGTAAAATATGGCAGTAATACACAGCAAGATGCAGCAGTAAGTTACGGTAAGATAAGGTGGTAAGATACGGCAGCAAGATATGGTAGTAATACACAAAAGCAGCCATTTGCACACTGCAAGGCATCTGAGCTGCAGCCAGTATGCCTCTGGCAAGACGGTGATAAAGTGATGGCAAGAGTGTTTCTTTTTTTAAGATCACCCTACCTCAGTGGGAGACAATCCGTGTGTTAAGAAAAAAATTAATAAAAAATTAGAGAGATTCTGCCAAATTGTTCTTGAAAAATTAAAGAATATGTGTACAAAAAGCTACATCTGCAATTGCAACAGAGACTTTATAGAATATACTGTAATACTGAATACCAGTAATATATTTAGTTATGAAATACTGGCAATTCATTTTTGAAGCATTGCAAATCAACAATCTCCTTCCCCCCTCCCATATTGGAAGAAATTATTTTATTTTTATATTAACACATCGGCTGTTTTCCACCAAGGCAGGGTGACTCAAAAAAGAAGAAATGCTTTCATCATCATTCACTCCATCGCTGTCTTGCCAGAGGCATGCCTACAATAAGAAATTAGGTTCATATAATTATCACCACATTGTTACATTTATTTACATTACAGCCCAACTTAAATAAATATTAAGAGGTATTATCAAGATATCCAGAAATGAGGTGGCGGAATTTTTGGGGGTAATGAGAGCAAAGCATTGAAGCATTCCATTCTCAGACACGTATATCGAACTAACTACAGAAATTACAAAAATAAATAGGCTCCCAATATACAACTCAAAAACATAAATACACACACACACACCTTTATTTTCAGTTTTATTTTCAGTGCTCTTCATTGTTTCTGTATTTAACTCTTCACTTTCCTGCTGCTTCACATTCTCTTGCTTAACTGTTAAATTAATTTTATCTGCTAATTCCTTTAATTCTGCAAGTTCCTGTTGTGCCTTCTTCAGCCTATAATAATTGTGTTAAGAAAAATAAGTTTTATTAAATAAACACATAAGACATACTGCAAGGTTTTCAAGAAAATATATAATACAAAAATACAGAGCTGTAATTTCTGGCTATATCAGTTTATTTTTTTGTGGTTAAAAGTTTATTTAAGTTGACCATTAATGTTTTTCATTTCTATTCATTACCTTTAAGTTCATTTACAGGGAATTATGGAGTTAGCTATATTAAAATTGCAACATTAGATCACACACCTTGATGACATTCCCTTGGAAACCTAAAATTATCAGTCTGGGTAAATAATAATTACGGTGAAGCTTCCACTTCAGAAAGGTTTATGTTCCTGAAGATCCCGCAATTACAAAAATATCTGCTAAAGTACTCTTAAACAGTGAAGCAGGTGTGATAGAGTACAGCAGTGACTGCAGCCATATCTACACATACAATGGTAACTGTCTTCCTTAATCCATTCAGTGGACATCATGAAGAACTATGTCACTGACGCCAGGTTCCCTTGTGTAGTTCTGCGTCATGAGCTCAGCTCACTCAGATAAGCTGTGAGCAGCAAATTTTGGCCTAAATATGAGAGAATGGGTCTGTGCAGTGAATGTGCATAGTATAAAAAATTCCTGTCCCTCACAGTGCATAATGGGAAAAACAAAACTGTGACCATGTATATGTTTTAAAATAGCAACTTCACTTCGATGTGTTTTCTCATTTGGCTTTTATGATTTTATTGGCATCAGTTGATAGAATGGAAAACTAACTACTGAATTAGAGATGATTTTGAATGGTTTCAGGACTAGAAGTAGTTTGAAACACTTGATTTTTGCCAGTATTCCTGAGGATGCATGAAGCCCCTAACACCCCCTAGTCTATTTTATGGGTTTTTAATAGGTCTGATTCAATTATTAGGATGCCTTAAACCATGATCAATCATTCCTTGTTATAAATTATTATCCAGG